GGGCACCAAGTTATGCAAATCTGAATCAACCATCATTTTCATGCCTTATAATTGGTTGAGTTCACCTAAAGCCTCAACATTTTGTGGAACAAACCTTTTTTTTTTTTTTGCCCCTCTTTTTATTTGATTTTCTTCCAAGATATTATTTGTTTCTCCTTTTATTATTATTTTTTCTACTTTGGAATATTTCATTTTTAAACCAACAAAAAGGCCCATTGTAGTAGACATTGCCTACATAAGGATCATTAGGAGATTAGGTGTACTTTAATCACACACACACTAAAGTGACCATTTCTAAAAATAAGAAGAAAAAGAAATCTCCACAATTTTGATGCTAGAAAATTTACCATAAAAGTCTATTGTAAAGTTTTGTGCCTACATACTGACACATCAAATATTATTCTCGTCGAATTTTGATATTGAATTTTTCGTTGATGTCATTCATTTTATTCGTTCTTACAGTTCCACTCTAATGAATGGACAAATGAAAGTTGTTAACATTGTCAATCTGAACATTAATTAGTAGATAAGATACATTAATTAGTAGATAAGATACTGATAACCATTCCAAAAGTTTATGGTTCGATCTCTGATTCCTACAATTTTTTTTAACTAAAAAAATGTTTAAATACTATTTTGGTCCATGTACGTAAAGAAAAAAAAATATTTTGGTTCTATTTACAAAATTTTTAATACAAATTTTATACACAATAAAAATTCTTTAATACAAATTTATGGTTACATTAAACAAAAAGTTGTAAGTGAATTGTCATGCTAAAATGGTCACGGTTTAAAATTATAATGACAAAAACAAACGTTTGAGAGTACGTGGATTGAAACGAACGTATAGAAATTAAAATAAGGAAAGTGAAAGAGTATTTAAACTAAAAGGAATATGTAACATTGAATAATATGTTTAATAATTCAATTTAATAAATGGAAAAGAGCTATCAATATATGTGAGTATATTTTATTAAGTTAAAAAATTATAATCTAAAATTGTTAATTAAGGGTTAGAGAGAGACTAAAGTTGGTGGAAGAGAGGGACGTGAAGAGAGAGAATAAAAAAATAAAAATGTAGAAAAAAAAATTATTGCGTATCTTTGAGAATCAGCGTCAATTCTCCACAAATATTTAAGCGTGTGTTACTTGATATTGGATTTTATTTTATCAACTCGAAAAAAAAAATAATAAATTTGGTTTTGCAGGAAGCTTGAATAGTTGAAGGCATTCTTCTTTCAATTATGATTTATCTTTTAGAAATATTTCCCGATTCGATCACTTTTTTAGAGTTTATCTGTTTCTATTTTTCATTATTTATTTTTTATTTCTCATTCTGGATGATAAATTTAACTACGTTGGATAACTATTTGTTATTGATTGTTTTTTTTAAGGAAAAAAACAAAACATATTTGGTTAACATTTCTCCCTTTTTTTCTGTTCAATAAAATTTTAGATTAAAACAAAAATAAAATTTGTATATGAAATTTAATTTTTCAAATAAAATATTTAAAATTTTAATGTTATATATATATATATATATATATATATATATGCATTTGAAAAATAATATCTATGTTTTGAGAAGTAAAAAAGAAAAACTGGAAACAAGAATAAAAAAACATGAAATTTGATCTTGTTGTTTCAAAAAATTCTACAGAATTTTGAACAAAATTCCCTTAAAAATGAGAAACGAGAAACATAAAAACCGGTTACTTTATGTTTTTTAAAAATTTGAAAACAGAAAACAAGAAGTAAGAAGCGAGAATGCCAAATGATGAGCCTTTAAATTATAAAGAAAACAAATAGGATAATTGTATCGAGGTAGTCGTCTCTCCCTTGGTCCCGATTCATTTTTTACTCTTAACATGTGTATATATATTTACTTCAATTATGTGCCGTGTATTAATAAAGAATTTGTCTCCGATCTATGCTATAATTTTTTCTAACTTTCAATGTGAGATTATGGTCGCATTTTAAGTATTTTGTTCTTGATTCATTTGTGAGAAATAATTGTTCCTTTTCCTTTTAATAGAAAAAAGAAAAGGAGAGGGAAGGGGAGTGGGAAAGGGGGAGCAGGTTGGCCAAGTGGGTGGGAGGAATAGAAATGAGTTGTGTATTAATAACCAAAGCTTTTGTTCCAAAAGAATATTAGAACAAATAATGGAATGGAACAAATTATGATTTGGGCATTAGAGCTAAGCAACTATGACTCTATGACCAATACCAGCAGCCTGACTAGGTTCATTTATGAGGATCAAAATCAATTATTATTGTTTTGTTCTCGTGTCAAGCTTTTTAATTTTTCTTCGATTCTTCGACATATGCTCAGAAGTTCAACGTCAATACGAGAGATGAATCGACATTTCTTTAGTATCGTAAAAAATTTGACAGAATCTAAATATCAACAAATCAACATTTTCTTACTAATATAGACCTAATGTTAATATTAGTAAATCTTATCTTATTTAAAAATAATGAAAGGTTTATTTGTTATTTTAAATATTTTTTAACTATCAGAAATATTCATCCACATCTCACACAATTGAGATGTTAGATTTAAAATCTAACTTATATATTTTTGTTCTTTGCTATTATTATTGTTATTATTATTAGGATTCAAATTATTCTTCTAGTTTTACATTATTGTTCCATCTATATACTCATTGGCATATATGATTGCTATCAATCTTTTTACTTTCTGAAAAAAATTTATGAATGTAATTAGTGATGAAATCATATTTTCAGTCTTTTTGTTACGGGTGAGGATTCAAAGCTCACGACCTTATCAGAGATAAGTCTTTAACTAGTTGATCTAAACTCAAATTAGGGTATATATATATTTTATTATAGACCGTAGAAGTTCTACGAATGAATAAAAAACAAGTAAAAAAAAAAGCTTGACTTTAGATCAGCTGGTTGACTTTAATTTATTGTGAAGAATATTTCTACTAGGACAAAAAGAATGATGAAACCATCTTTCTCAACCAAACACATTAGAACAAGATTCTGTGTATATTAGAGGATGTTAGATTTTAGTAAGGGATCGAATACTTGTCTCTTGGAACATACCTACAACAAGCATGTTTACTAAACTTGAAAGAAATTCGCAACATAACCGCTATAGTTAATTGTTTGAAATTATCGATCTATAGGCAAAGAATAAAAAGAGAGATTGAATATGAGTTTGATAAATATATGGAACACTAACCTTAGGAAAAAACATTGCTCCTTAATGATAGAGAGACTACTGTGCTTCTTACTCTCCCATGATCCCATAATTAGAACACAGGTGTTGACTGTTGTTTTTTTTCTAATTATGTTATTAAAATCGATAATCTCATAAAAAATATCTCTCAGTTTTTTTAAGTGGTTTTACCATTTTTCTCCATTTTTTCTAACAAAAAACTGCAGAAGGCTCCATCTAAAATTAGAAAACAATAATTTTAAACTGCAAAAAATAAAAAGCAAAATATATATATATATATATATATGTGTGTGTGTGTGTACTTTAAAATTGTGGAGAAATATTTCTGGATATATTTTTTATCCTGTATCAAAGAAAAACAGGGAGGTGAGAAACAGTAATCTCCATTAACGGCAGTTGATCAAAATCTTCCATTGGACACACACAAGTAATTAATCAACTACATGATGATCCATAGAGAGAGCCAAAATATGTATCAAATGATTCCCCCGCCACTCCATAAAAACCAAGCACAAATCATTCTTCTTATGGGACAAGCAAGAACTTTAAAAAAAATAGTGTATTAATTAGTTATCCTAAAATCTAAGTGGGAACCATGCTGGTCTAATTACAATTATCTTTTGTGTGCATGCAAATCCTTGGCCAATTAGCTTCAATTTCTTCTTTATCACCCTCTCCCATTTATTCAAAGACATTTTAAACGTCTCAAAGTCTCTCAAATGCCATACACTTCACGCATGTTGCTTATGAGACACAAGGGTTTGGCACTAATAATTCAACCTACCAAACCATTGCGAGTGTTCAAATTTTATGGGTCTGAATAATTGGCCTCTTTGTATTTCTATACTAGTATGATGTTGTCCATTTTAAAATCTGAACACGTATGATTTTAATTTCAAGTTCTATCTAAGTAGTCTCATTTGATTTTAATTTAGACCTTAAACTTTTCAAGGTTATGTGTAATAGAATTCACAGACTTTTAATTTAGTGTCTAATAGACCTTATCTTGACTTTTCAAGTGTTTGACATGTTAAAGTTTTAAAAGAATCTATGGAACCTATTGGACAAAAATTCAAATGGGTGAAGGTCTTATTAGACATGATGAATAGTTTAAGAACTAATTAGATATAAAATTAAAAGTTAAAAAACCTAGTTAGTGGACATTCTTAAATTCAACGTATATTAGATATAAAATCAAAAGTTATTAAAAGCTTAAACTTAGAGACATGTTAAACGTTTAGTTCATACAATATAACATTACAAGGAAAATATTTTGCTCATTGACGACAAGGACCAAATTTTATCCTCACCACCATTAAAAAATTGACAACTCATTAAATTTTACAAAATGTCTCTATTTTTTCTCTTTTAGTTGTCAAATATTTAACGGTGGTGAAGACGAACTTGCTCTTTATTACGTTAAAAGAAGCCATAGGAAACTATGTGGAAGGTTATTGATGCTTGAGCTGTGCTCGGGTTTGCAGAACCTACAGAGAAGGTTATTATTTCTTTTTAGTACAACATGTGAAGGTGAAAGTCGAACTCACAACTTTTTATTTGGAGATATATATCAATTACTACTAAACTATACTTATTTTAACTACCGGAAAGGTTATTGATAGTTGAGCTATACTCAAGTTTCCGGAAAGAAAGTTGGAGAGAGGACAAGTAGAGAAAGCTTGTATTTTTGGCAGGGGGAAAAAGGGGAATTAGGCTTCTCTCCTCCTCGCCCGCCCTCTTTTTTGGTCCCACAAGTTTTCAACTTTATATTTCCCCCACCCCTTCCAAAAAAAAAAAAAAAACTTCATGAAAGCATGTTGGTCGGTAAGTTTTAAGTCGCCCCATTTCCGGTGGCAGCCTGATAAATCTCCGGCGAACCTAGCCTGGCCACTATGCTCTTTCAAGTGGAAGAAGCATAGGATATTTTAGAATGTGCTGTCGAGAATCAGTACGAAGCACATCAATCGAATTCCCTTTTTCATCCATAAATAATGTCACCATGTTCATCCTTCCAACACTCACAGCAATCTCTTCTTCATCCCCCACCCCTGTTTTCCCCCTCCCATACTCTGTTTCAAACAGAGACTAACAGCGATATGGTCAAATTCTCCAAGCAGTTTGAGGGTCAGTTGATCCCTGAATGGAAACATGCCTTTGTTGATTATTGGCAACTTAAAAAGGACCTCAAAAAACTATATCTTCTTAAAACTGATAACCCCGCCACCGCTGCAGCCACCGCCACTGCCACCGTTGCGGCTGCAAGTAGTACCCTATGGTCTTCTGTAAAAAAAATCTCTATATTTGGCCACCAACGCCGAGATCATGGGCCTATTCATGTACTCTTTCAGTCAACTTCCCACAGTTTTTCTTTTCTCCATTTTGCATATAATATTATAAGTATAACGTAAAGTTGAAATCTTTTTGCTAACAGGTTCATAAGAAACTTGCTTCCTCTGTTAGCAAGGGAGACATGTATGAAACGGAACTGCTGGACCAATTTGCCGATTCGGCTGCGGCGAAAGAATTCTTTTCCTGTCTGGACTTCCAGCTTAATAAGGTGAACCAGTTCTTCAAGACAAAGGAGGGAGAGTTCATGGAGAGAGGAGACAGCTTGAAGAAACAATTGGAGATTCTCATTGACCTGAAGACGGCACTCCAGCAGCGGCGCCAGACCGGTGATATCGCACCGGATTCAAAGGAGGAGGGTTCCATCTCCTACACAATTTCTTGTGGTAAAATCATCAACTTGGCTTGTTTCAAATGGTACCCAGAAGTTTTGAGTTTATCAGTTTTCTCTCGTCATCTGCCAAATTCCTCATATGGGTGTTGCTAAAAATGTCTCATTTTGTTCATTAACTAATCTATCTCTCATTGGAAAACATCTAAGGCTCTGTTTTGTACTAATGATGTCATACTTTCATAGTTAACTTGTAGAAGAAGGAAGTTGTGATGGCTTTTATCTATAAGGAATCTGCTGCTCTGTTTTATCATTATTAATATTGTGTTCTGTTTTTGAAATTTTGGCTGCAGAGGAGGAGTCCGTTAAGGACAAAACTGGGCAAGAACACTCACAAGAGAACATCAATGAGGACTCCGAGAAGACTGAGTTGGCATTTTCAGACTCTCCAAGATCAGAAGAAATGGGAAACTCAACAAGAACTAAAAGCTTGGATCGAAAATGGAGATCATTCTCGGGTCGGGTTATAAGTTTCCATGGGAAGAATATAAGGTTGAACATTCCTCTGACCACCCCATCTCGGACCTTCTCGGCGATAAGCCATTTGTTCAGGGAAGATTTGGCGAATTCAAAGAAATGCAATGAAGGTACAAAACTTCACATCAATAAGACTAGATTGCATCATGCAGAGAAGATGATTAAAGGAGCTTTTGTTGAGCTCTACAAGGGGTTGGGTTTTCTCAAAACTTACAGGTAAACAATAATGATGCTAAAAATTGAATGCAGAACAATTAAAGTTTCATTTTTGGATATCTTTTGATTATTGTGAGACCATTATTCAGGCACTTGAACATGCTTGCTTTCATAAAGATTTTGAAGAAGTTTGACAAAGTAAGTGAAAATAGGCACTCATAATTCATTCCTTCATTATTGTCTCTGAAATCCTGCTTGTAATCATAAAGATCCTGCTTTTTTGCAGGTCACTGGAAAACAAGTTCTTCCGATTTATCTGAAAGTAGTGGAGAGTTCATATTTCAACAGCTCAGACAAGGTAAAATTTGTTAACAATTCCTCGAAAATCGAAAAGTCAGAAAAGTTTAAAATCTGATTTAAAGAGCACATTTGCATGGTTTTATGATTGGATCATGTCTAAATTTTGGTCATTAGTTGCTGAAAACTTCCCTTGAGAAAGTTCTCAGACAATGTAAAGTGGCTGTTGGTTTCGTAGTTGGTCTTGTCTGCACAACAAATGCCCTCAAATTCATATGAGATTTTGGAGCTAGATATGGTTGCCCATCACTTACATTATGCGGAAACTTTAGAACCAGAAAAAAACTTGGGACTAAAGTCTGGGAAATGACAGGTTATAAAGCTAGCAGATGAGGTAGAGGAGCTATTTGTCAAAAACTTTGCCGAGGATGACAGAAGAAAGGCCATGAAATACCTTAAACCGAAACAGCGTAAAGAGTCACATGGCATTACCTTCTTCGTCGGTGAGTTCTTTAACACATCATTTTCTAAGAGATCTTGGCAAGCAAATCCTATCAAATTTTAGTGTCTACTCACCAAGCTTTTAATGAAGACATAGATGAACAAACAAAACTAAAAGTACTCCCCACTGCCACATCATACCACTTGGCTTTGAACTAAAGGGAATTTGCACAATCCACTATTTTGGGTGGACACTAGACAACAAAAGCAATTGTCCCCTGGTTCACGAAATGAGGCTGAAAATTTTAACCCCATTCAAGAGTTTTTAACCATTATAAAAAAGAATTGAAGAGGTCAAACGTTAAAAACTTACACAGCAGTAACTGTTTGAAGCATTAAAACCTTTCCACTTAGGCATAGTTCAGTAAATATAATCTTTTTTTTCCATGAACAGGTCTGTTCACAGGTTGTTTCATTGCACTTCTGGCTGGTTATGTTATTATGGCTCATATCATGGGGACGTACAAAAGGCACCCTTTCTCAATTTACATGGAGACTGTATACCCAGTACTTAGGCAAGTTTTTCTTTCCCCATCTCTTTCTTAACTGTTTTCGCTATTGGTGAAAGGTAATTAACAAGATGAATCTTGTTTGCAGCATGTTCAGCTTGATGTTCTTACATTTCTTCCTCTATGGCTGCAACATCTTTGCATGGAGAAAGACTCGAATAAATTACAGCTTCATTTTCGAGTTATCAGCTACCAAGGAACTTAAGTACAGAGATGTGTTCTTGATTTGTACTACTTCAATGACTGCTGTCATGGGGGTTATGTTTGTTCATTTGTCATTGCTTTCAAAAGGGTACTCTTATACTCAAGTTCAAGTGATCCCTGGCGTTCTCTTGCTGGTAATTTGCAACATGAAGGCATATTTTTGTCTCTAAGGTTGAGGCTCGTTATTATTCGGTTGAATTTCGATAACCGATTTTCGAAACATTTTCCTCATGTGACAGACTTTCTTGCTATTACTTTTGTGCCCATTCAACATTTACTATCGTTCAAGCCGCTACCGTTTCCTCCGTGTGATGAGAAATATAGCCTTTTCACCTCTCTATAAGGTAAATCCCTACTCCAGTGATACATCCCCCATCTTTTTACCTACTCCAAGGTGGATTTTGGAAGATTAAAACTCTTCTTCAAAGTACAGTTTGGTTTTATCATGTTCTCATCACTTTATCAACTAATTTTTGCAGGTAGTGATGTTGGATTTCTTCATGGCAGACCAACTATGTAGTCAGGTATATATGGATAAGTACTTAGCTCCAAATTACTGAACACAACTAGGCATGACAGATATGTTAGAAAGTGATTTTCCTCGTAACAATTCTTCTGTGTTTTGCGGTATAGGTCCCCATGCTGCGAAACCTTGAGTATCTGGCCTGCTACTACATAACAGGAAGCTACAAAACACAGAATTACAATTACTGTATGAACGCGAAGCATTACCGCGATCTCGCTTATGCAGTTTCATTTCTACCCTATTATTGGAGAGCAATGCAGGTATAGGACTCAGTCACTTGCAGGAGTGCTAAGAATTTATATCATTCATCATTGATATCATTTAACAAAGTGTTGCATTTTCGGGTTTTCAGTGTGCGAGGCGCTGGTTCGACGAGGGACAGACAAGCCACCTTGTCAATCTAGGAAAATATGTCTCTGCAATGTTGGCTGCAGGAGCCAAAGTGGCATATGAGAAAGACAAGGCCAAAGGTGTTGGATGGCTATGTCTTGTGGTGGTTATGTCAAGTGGAGCAACTGTGTACCAATTGTACTGGGACTTTGTAAAGGATTGGGGATTGCTTCAAATGAATTCCAAAAATCCATGGCTTAGAAATGATCTAATGCTTCGAGGAAAGACCATTTACTATGTTTCCATGGTATAGTCCCAACACTGCTCCATCTATCGGTCTCGAAAACTTTARCAAGAGAAAGTCTGTGAGGACTAGCACTAATGTGACGTGAATCACTAATGCATATAAGATAGGAATTTATGTATATAATCAACATGGCTACTATGGAAGATAGGAAAGACATTGAAAAGATTCTCCAGATTTCCTCTTCCATTGGCTTAGTTTTAGTAAGGCAAAGCAATATTCTCAATCAACTCTTGATAAGATAGAAATAGAACCCAATACTTTGTACAATACAGGAAGATTATAGGTGTCTTGTCAAGTGCACATTCTAGGAGTTAACTAATTTTCCCTTGTTTTAGGTCCTATAGTGAAGTGGATTCTTATCAAAATCTTTGGTATGTTTGTTGCAGGGCTTGAACTTTATTCTTAGGCTTGCATGGCTGCAAACTGTTCTCCATTCAACTTTTGGACAAGTTGATTCAAGGGTAACTGGACTTTTCTTAGCAGCTCTTGAAGTCATTAGAAGAGGGTTGTGGAACTTTTTCAGGTAAAAGTTACAAACTTTCTTAGGTTTATTGGTATGCTTAAGCAACCTAACTGTTGAAGTCTTCCTCTTTTTGGTCACTCTAATAAGCATATGTTCCAATGGCCCAGGTTGGAGAATGAGCATCTTAATAATGCTGGGAAATTTAGAGCAGTTAATCCAGTGCCACTTCCATTTGATGAGGTTGATGAGGTAGACTGATGCCTATCAGCAACAGTCACTTATGGAATTCGAATTGACGCCAACCGATGATCTCCACGGAACAAATGTTCCAGAGGAATCTTATTGTCCCCTTTCACAATCAACAAGGAAGCAACCTGATTCTTAGTGCTCGAGGTTCACTAGATTTTGGGGACAGTTCATACACTTGTACACAATTATTTTTTTCTTAACCTTTGAAAGGAAAAATCATTCAAAAACTGCACAGTTATGTTACTTCTCTAGTAGCCAACTGTGACAAGAATTTATCATGTTCTTCCTTCATATTTACTCACAATTCAACAAATGATCTTATTCTTACCAGAATACACACAATTTTTCAACACACCCCTGTCAACACTATGCATCATCAACAAAAAAAAAGGCAGCAGTAAATAGCCAAACATTTAGCACAAATCATATGGAATACAACTCCTCTTAGTCCTGCCTTTCTTTCTAACTCACTTTTCTCCCCCTTTTTTTTCCTAAAAAAAAGTAATGAAAAAGTAGTGATTGGGAGAGGAGGGCGAGAAAATGGGGTTCTCTCGATTTCAGCGCCCAATCAAAAGAGTTTTTTTTTGGTTAGTAGAACCAAATTAAAATAGCCTCAATTATTGCTCTATTTATAAAGTTACCCACTTTCCGATGGCATTAGATATATAAGTGCTTGGTTTTATTATAAATTTGCTGCCCCTTTTGACTCTCCATTCCAATTCTCTTTTCTACTCCAATTTTATGGCTAGCTTCCATGTTTAGTTTTGTATATTACACTATTTAGTTTCATTTTCAATTATTTTATTTAATTGCTATTGAAGAATAAAGAACTAATTTCAAGCACTTTGAGGGTCAACACCATAACTCTCTCTTTTTACCATATATATATATCTTTTATGTCATTGTAATTAATGTAAAATACAAACATTAATTAACCAATATGCATCAATTGTGAAAGGTTATCACACCATATCACGTTGTAATCATGCTGTTTCCATATATGCACGTGAATTTTCTAAAAATTATAAAGGAAATAATATAATACCATATTAAAAAGCCCAAAAGGGGGATAAAAAAAAACAAGCAAATGCACTTCATCATGCACAAAAGGACAAGGTTTTTATTGGATTTTTTTTGTTGTATGGCATTGAAATTTAATTATTTTGGAGAGAACTTTTGTGAGTATGCCAACGTAATATGTCTTTTGACAGTATACATGACCGGCGGTTATATGTCTTTTCTCATGTCGGACCTGTCGGGTTCCGAGTAGATCGAACCACAACCAGGTCGAATCTTGGCGTCTATACTTAGCCTTTTTGGTAATGGGCGAACCCGGTCTCCTCGACAGGGCCGAGGTGAACTTAGGCAATTCCTTTTAATTCTTCAAACACCAGTAAAGGTCCTCCACGTGTACTGTGTATATTTTACCCCCAAACACATGGATTCAGCAATAATAAACTATATTTTTTATTTATGTTTTAGAACAAATTAGAAATTAAAAAAGGAAATAAGCAACAAGAAACTTTTTTTTGTTTCCAATTCTATACAAATTTGAGAATGTGGAAAAAATGAGAACAAAAAAATATAAATAGTTGTCAAATCCTCATACTTCTTAATAAAATTGAAATGGGAAACAATAAACGAAAATGGAAATGAGTCCGTGGTAGTCATAAAATAATAGCATACGCAAGCCTGAATATAGTTTGACTGGTTGGAATTCGATTTGTTAAGGTATATATTACCATGTACTTATTTATATCTTATCAAATTACATACCATGAACGTCATTTCCTTAATTTTATATTTAAATAAGGTCACTTCTACCCTCTAACCCTGGAATGATATAATTAATGGATAATTTGATAAAGGGTATGAATTATCATATTAATTGGTTAAGCGAAGTTAAGCCGAGCTTTGGGAATGAGGGAAGAGAAAAAGTTGAAAGTTTGAAAGCTTCATTTTGTGAATGAAAAATGAAAAATTGGTTTGAACAAACAAAAATAGTGAGGAAATGAAATGAAATTCCTTTATGAAGAGATGGACGGTTGTTATTTGTAAAGCCTCTTCTTTTATGTCTGGTTGGTTGGGTTAATTTGTCATTTTTCACTTTAATTACAAATTCAAATCATTTGGTGTTTTGGGACTTTCTTTTCCTTTTCCCCTTTTAAAGCCCCCCTTTGCCTTTCTCACAAAGTAAAAAGTATAACATTTGAGGAGCCCAATTTAATTTCAGCTTTTTTTTAATGAAATTTAATTTCAACGTTACAAGTAACGACAATACTCATCCATTAATGGAGCCATATTAATTACATTAATTACAAACTATATTCTAATAGTTCACAAAATCTGAAAAACATACCATCATGCTAAATGTTTCCATTAATTAACCTCAATAAAAATTAATCACATAACTTCATTTGTCATTGTATGACCGACAATAGCATAATTAGAAATAGAATCCTTCACTTTTTTTAAACTAAAAAAAAAAATTAAATTCCAAGTGTGTAGGTAGACGAATTCTTTAAACACTTATGGTTAGTGAGAATACTATAGTTAATGAGATATTGTTTTACATGATAGACAAATTACATGGTATATTTTATTTATAAAATGGAGATTCAGAGGATATTGATATCTTGTTGAATTATGCTCGAAGTATATGTATAACTTACAAATATTCGAAAATACATTTGTATCACGAAAATCCATACACGTGGATCTAAATTTGGATTACATAAGAGAATGTTTAATGAACAGTTTTTTATTAGGGGGAGAGCTGCAAAATCGTCGTATGGGAAGCTGACACGTGTTGGAAGATGATGCAATCAGGATCTATGATTGATCCTGCGAAACCGTACATGAAACAAAGACGTAGAAAATATAGGCGCATGCATTTAGAGCAAGAAGCTTAGAAGTTGCCTAATTATGTTATCCATGAAAATACACCAAACACGGTCGTTTTATCCATGAAAATAACCAATATAGCCATTTTTTTTTTGTCTTCATTTAAAGTAATTGCAGATTTACCTAACTACTTTACTATTATATTATTCAATTTCGGTCTCCTTCGAATAATTAAAAAAAANAGTTCGGTTCAGCAGATTTCGTTAAAATATTCTATTCAAATCAAGTTATAAATAATTGCACTCATCAAGTTTTTACCTTAGCCTTTAACCTCCTAGGTAAGAAAATAAAGATCTATAAAAAATTGGAATTTCGCAGTTTATTAAAGAAAAACAGAATTAATATTTAATATATTTTAGGTTAAATATACCCAATAGTTTCTAATCTTTTAGGAAATTTTTAATCCGGTCCTTAATATTTTAAGGTACTAAAAAATTCTATGAAATTTATTTTGTAAAAAATGGTTAAAATTCGTTAATAAATAAGGTTGATGTATTATCAAATTTTTTGTTTTACTTACTTATTTGGACATATCTTATCTGGCACATAATATTCAATCCACAATATATTCAATCCATGCCCTTGAACAATAATTTAATGACATATAGTTTTATGTCAACAAAATTTAGTAAATTCCTTTTCTTTTTTTTTTAAAGAAGACTTAATCGGGATCTTTTATATACACTAAAGGTGAAAATTAAAAGTTTTAAAATATTAAAAACCAAATAAAAAATTTATCCAAAAAAGATTAGAAATTATTGAATATATTTATATATGGAAGGATTGAATTTATGAGGAATATTAAGAAAAAAAATTAAAATGTAACATACTGGGGGCAAGTGGTATTAGATCATGTGGTTCCGATCAGTAGAATCAAAGTGTAGCTTTTTGATATTATCTTGTTCTTCAATCCAACTGTGGGAAAATATTGAGATTCTTAATTAACCTTCTTTTAGACGTATACCAAATTAAAGAATCTAAATCCTAGAGTTATCCATATATTTTAATTTTTCAGATAAAATAAACTGATCCAAATCTCTAAATATTGAATTAATATGTCTTATTCTCCCGTCGTCGTACCAAAAAATACTATTCCATTCGTAACTAATTTCATTAATTCAATTATTAGAGTATTGGGAGCTTTCTTTATGGGTTCGAAGGTTAGAGTTTCTATGTCTATGTAATTATATTATCATAAAAAACTTCATTATTTGAACCGTAATTTTATCTAATTCGAATTAGTTATGGTTAGACGTTGGAAGTTTAAGTAACAATTTAGTCCTATCATACATATGATAGTGTGATTTGATTGGGTTGAATTATTTTAGTTTATTTGTGCAAAAATATAATAAAAAAATATTAGTTTGAGTATCTATTTTTCCATTTAATACCATATCTTGTTTTATAGAAAATGATACTTCAATCATTGGAATCCATCACTTCAAGAATTTTATTTAAGGATTATCAAACATGGTTCAATAAATTAAAATATATATTACTGATCAAAAGGTGGTAGATTATTCGAATCCCTACCCACACACATTGCCGAACCTAAAATAAATATTAGTGACTCTATTCCTATTTAGCTAGGTCCTKACATGATTTTATTCTTGCAACAAATTTCTAACCCCTCTTAAATTTCGATAACCGAGTTTCGAAATTTTTTCCTCATGTGACAGACTTTCTTGTTATTACTTGTGTGTCCATTCAACATTTACTATCGATCAAGCCGCTACCGTTTTCTCCATGTGATGAGAAATATAGCCTTTTCACCTCTATATAAGGTAAATTCTTACTCCAATGATCCATCCCCATCTTTTTTATCTCCTCCAAGGTGGATTTGGAAGCTTAAAACTCTTCTTCAAAGTCAAATTTGGTTTTATCACGTTCTCATCAATTTATTAACTACTTTTTGCAGGTAGTGATGTTGGATTTCTTCATGGCAGACCAACTATGTAGTCAGGTATACATGAATAAGTACTCAACTACAAATTACTGAACACAACTAGGCATGACAGATATGTTAGAAAGTGATTTTCCTCGTAACAATTCTTCTGTGTTTTGCGGTATAGGTCCCCATGCTGCGAAACCTTGAGTATCTGGCCTGCTACTACATAACAGGAAGCTACAAAACACAGAATTACAATTACTGTATGAACGCGAAGCATTACCGCGATCTCGCTTATGCAGTTTCATTTCTACCCTACTATTGGAGAGCAATGCAGGTATAGGACTCAGTCACTTGCAACAGTGCTATGAATTTATATCATTCATCATTGATGTCATTTAACAAGTGTCGTATTTTTCAGGTTTTCAATGTGCGAGACGCTGGTTCGATGAGGGACAGACAAGCCACYTTGTCAATATAGGAAAATATGTATCTGCAATGTTGGCTGCAGGAGCCAAAGTGACATATGAGAAAGACAAGGCCAAAGGTACGTGTTGGGTGGCTATGTCTTGTGGTAGTTATGTCAAGTGGAGCAATTGTGTATCAATTGTATTGGGACTTTGTAAGGGAYTGAGGATTGCTTCAAATGAATTCCAAAAATCCATAGCTTAGGAATGATCTAATGCTTCGATGAAAGTCCATTTACTATGTTTTCATGATATAGTCCCAACACCGCTCCATCTATCGGTCTCGAAAATTTTAGTAGAACAAAGTCTATGAGGGCTAGCACTAATGTGACATCAATAACTAATTCATAGATATTTAGCACTCAGAATGATTATGAATTTTTGAATATGATCAACATGGTTACTATGGAAGATAGGAATGACAGTGAAAAAGATTCTTCAAATTTCCTCTTCCATTGGCTTAGTTTTAGCAAGGCAAAGCAATATTCTCTCAATCAACACCTGAAAAGATAAAAATAGAACCCAATACTTTGTACAATATAGGAAGATTATAGGTGTCTTGTCAAGTACACAATCTAGGAGTTAACTAATCTTCCCTTGTTTTAGGTCCTATGGTGGAGTGGATTCTGCATGGCTTGAACTTTATTCTTAGGCTTGCATGGCTGCAAATTGTTCTCCATTCAACTTTGGGATAAGTTGATTCAAGGATAACTGGTATTTTCTTAGTAGCTCTTGAAGTCATTGGAAGAGGGCTGTGGAACTTTTTCATGTAAAAGTTACAAACTTTCTCGATTTTATCAGTTAAACAAATTAACCGTTGAAGTCTTCCTCTTTTTGGTCACTCTAATAAGCAACAATTTTTTTTTTCTTGACCTATGAAAGAAAAATCATTCAAAAACTGCACAGTCGTGTTACTTCTCTATTAGCCAATTGTGACAATAATTTATCATGTTCTTCCTTCATCTTTACTCACAATTCAACAGATGATCTTATTCTGCTAGAATACACGCAATTTTTCAACACACTCCTGTCAGCACTATGCATCATCAACAAAAAAAGGCAGCAGTAAATAGCCAAACATTTCACTGGGGTGAAAGGAACCGAACCAAACCGAAAAACGGACCGGACCGGTTTGGTTCGGTTCGGTTCAGTTCCGTTGCCTTTAAACCCGTCTTCCTCTGTAACATACGCCTCTGTCCCTCGACCCTTCAGTTCGCGACTCCACGACCACCCCCCCTCCCCCAGCTCTCTCTCTCTCTGTGACCATCTCCGGCGGCAGCGACCATCTCCAGCAGCGGCGACGCTCTCTGTGAACGACCCTTCGTCTCGATTCAACTCTCACCTTGCCGAAGCTCTTCATCCGTGGTAAGTCTTGTATACAAACCCATGTTCTTCCCTTGTTCTTGCATTTCTTCTATCAAAATCTGTGTTGTGCGAACTCGATTAAAGGTTGGTTTTTCTGATTAAGGGATATTTTATTCTGGGTTGTTATCAAAAGGGTAGAATTTTGTTGACTTTATTTGTTTTGGTTTTGGAGGTCTGTTCAGGCGGCGATCTTGTGATAATGTGTTCGAGAAATGTTTTCTTCGATTGATTCTCCATGGTCCATGGCCGATTATGCTATGTTCTCTTGCTGAGTGTTTTTTTGTGCAGTTCATGACTATTAGTTGAATATTGTTAATGGAAACAATTACCATTTTAGCCTTTACCATTATTTTGCTTTCAATAAATGGATAATGAAACTTCATATATTATGATCATCTAGATGTGAGCAGGTTAAATAAGCGTGGAGATTGGGAAGCAAAATATCAAACAAATGTTTTTACTAAAATAAACTTTCTCCAAAAACTCACCTGATATGAACAAGACCCTTCTTGGTCCCTTTGTCCTTAGCTTCTTCGACCTCAAACTTTGCGAATGGGCTGACCACATGGGTTCCAGAGAACTTGAGGAAGCCATTCATGGCCTTGTCGTCTGATGTGTTTGCTTGCATGATTTCTAAGTTGTGAGCTCCTAATAATGATTTTATTGGTCTAATAGGATCCTGTTTTCTAGCTGATTGATGGTTTTGTTCTTTGTTTGAACTTTGATTACACTTATCGATGACAGCTAATATCTTATCAATAAATCAACCAAGGGAATTTTATGACACCCAATTGCATAACTTCACTCATCTGTATTCATGTATACATAACTTTTGAAGATTTGAATGTGGGTGTAACCAAATGGTGTCCCACTCCCACTCTAACACCATTTCTTGTTAGTAATGTGTATCAATGTGTATCAATTACCATTTCATTCTAGTTATTGCAAATTGCTACAGGAAATTGAATCATAAAGCAGGGAAGGAAGCTTGAGCACCAAAGATCTTGATTCTTTGGTTTTTGTTTTACAATTATCTGGTGGAAGGTTGGGAGGAAGTAGTCCTTTGAAAGCAAATCGATTCTTCTGAAAAATCTATATCTAGCCTTGAAGCAACGGGTTAGATTCCAATTTCTAACACTTCATCCCTTTTGCTTCGAACTTGTTTATTTTGATGTTGCATTTACTTTGGATGTTTACTCGATGAGATTCGATGATGTTGATGTGCATTTTCTTGAGGAAACATAGAGTACTAATGATTTTGTTTTTAGTTTGAGTTTAATGATTCCATTGCTGATGTGCATTTTCTGAGTTTAATGAGTTAATTATTATGTTCTTAGTTTTTTAGTTGAGTTTCTTGAACTTTTTTGTTTGTTTTTTTTGGAGGTCTAATTTTATCTTATTAATTCACCGGATGACTTCATCTGAGTTTTCTAAAACAAGTCATTCTAGTCAAAGTGTTCCATTAGTTGAACTTGACAACTTTAACCTTGTTGCCAGTAGTAAAGTAGGATTGCTTGGTAAAAGGAAACGCTCTAAAGGTTCAGATGTATGGGAACATTTTGTTAGGGTAGAGGGATGCGATCTTGAATTTCCTAAGGTTGTTAAAAATGAACTAAACCGCTGAGATGGAGAGACAGAGGGTGAGTGGAAAGAATCCTGAAAGACAAGAAACCAGATAATATGCTCTACTACCAAAGACCATGTCCATTACCGGTCAATAGGATTCAGGAACTGTGAGCATGAAATCCCCTCGCGAAAGATGACTAATGCTTTACTTGCACAACTTCGGTTGTTACAAGAGGATTTAGATTAGCAAGAAGACAGAATGAGAGAGTGAGATGAAAAGTGAGAAAAGCGATGGAGAGGGAGAATCGCCGACGAGAGTGAGAAGAGAGAGAGCTTACATGTTCTGCTGCGGCGCACCGATGAAGGAGGCTTATTTCAGAGCTTCCTTTCTTACTTCTATTAGGTTTATCGATGGGGATATAGGAAAAAAGAATGGACCCAAAATGCAATATTAAAAATTTTAACATTACAAAAGCGCAATCGCCTCTTCGCTTCAATGGCAGGCGCGCGCTTTAGCGCTCGACTGTGAAAGACGCTCGCCTCTTTGCATTGCTAATGCAAAATGGTTTATCAGACAAAATACTTCAATAGACTACCAAAGTTGAACGTAGAATTAACGCATTTCAATATAATGGCGTAGCACTAATGCGTACCTGAACAAACACAAGCCCCCGTTCGTAAGCTAATCGATTTATAATCCTCTTTGTCCTCCCATTACATTGGTTACATGTAAATTCCACCAGCAAATTTCTTCTTGGAAGCTTTATGTCAATGGTTGCCCCCTACAAATACAAAATTGCCCCTTAATTTAATGAAAAAGTCTGAAGTCTGGTGCCAAAAACTCAAACCCAAACTCGGGTGAGTTCGAATAAAACTCGCCCGAGTTTTTATGAATTTTTTCGGGAATTGGTTCACGGGCGAATTTTTACCATTTGGGTAACACAAGCAACTTTAAAATTGGATATATATATTTAACTGTCGTTTTCGTTGACAAATTGTTGCTTGGCCCGGTGGGTTCATGAGCACGGCTAGAGTTGGAACTCGTGCCACTAGAGTTACTAATTCGTATACTAAGCCACCAAGCCAACCACCACTCTTTGAACCAAATTTCATATTCTGTTATATTAGTGCAGTTAATTTTCTCGCTCGTGAATCCAAAATTTCTTAACTTGGGCGAGGTTTATTCGAACTCGCTTGCAGAATCTTAAGCTAGATTTATGAATTTTGGTCAAGATTTATGCAATCTCGGTTGAGATTCAAGCTTAATATTAATGGTCATAACCCAAATTGAAAAAAAAATCAAGGGGTTGAGATTTATGCAATATGGATTCAAGTCCGAGATTTATGTTCATTCTAATTTAAACAAACCCAAATTAAAAGAAAAAACATTCGATATTAGAGTTCTGTCTCAATCCCCATTTGGAAGAAAGTGACAAAATCGAAATCGAAAAATATGAAAAGAGAAACAAAATCGAAAAACAAGAGTAACTATAAATAAAGAAAATGAGAAAGGCATATGTGAGAGTCCTATTAGGGGTATAGAGGAATATTAGTTTGTTAGTATGAAGGGGTAGTATGGTAATTAGAATGGTAATTAGTTAGGAGAGTTGTTATAAATAAGGGTGGTAGGGAGAGGTGGAAGATATCTTGGAGAATAGTCTTGTGTAAGGAACTTGAGAGGGTTCTTTGGGAGTGAGAAGCCTTCTCGAAAGGCTATCGATATTGTAATTACTCTTTTATATTGCAATATAGTGTTCTAGTTAGGTTCTTGTATTCGGGTACCTAACAAATTAATATTCCTCTATACCCCTAATAAGACTCTTGCAGCATAATAGTTCGAAATAAGGAAGTAAGGAATAATATTATATGAAAAAAAATGTAAGTGGAGAAGAGAATAGAAGTTTGAGAATGGAAGAGATAAATGGAGAAGAGGTAAAAGAAGATAAGAGAGAAGGGTATCACTGTAATTTTGCAATTTTTTTAATTGAATAAAATATTGATTTAGGTTAGAAAAAGAAATTTTGAAATATTTGGCCATTTGAGCAAAAGTGAAAACTTTCTTAGGTCATTTGTGTCAATTCCCCGAGAGAGCACCGTGACAGGAAGTGATAGATACTGTAAGTGCGGCACCCGCAGCCATGACAGCGGCAAAAACTCTGTTCGTTTCCTCTCCCGCGCTTCTTCAGCACTCCTTGAACTCTTCTCAGATTTGGCCGTACCCTTCTATAAGGGCATTCAGACCTATTATCTCTTCGAAAGCAAACCCTAGCAATGATGTCTTCATTAGGTGAACGATAAAAAACTCTTCAATTTGTATTTTCTTCGTTATTCCTTTCTACTCTTTTCTTTATTACACAAGCAAATCGATCGTTTCTTTTTCCAGGAGTAGGAACTTCCATACAGCACCAGTTATTCGGGAACGCAGATACAAGGTGTTTGCGGTTTCTAGATTGGTGGATGGTAATTCTGGCAACGACAATGATTCTGCACGCAGAAATTCGGATATGGTATGAATAACTAAGAGAAATTAGTGACATAATTTATCTTCATGCTCTAGTATTCTGTTAGAAAATTTGTATTGATTTTGAACGTATTACTCTTCAACATCTCATGGCTTGACTTTGTTTCTCTTCAATTTGCAGGGGGCAGCCATTGACATAAAGTTTCCAAGAAGAAGTTTGCTGGTGGAATTTACATGTAACCAATGTAATGGGAGGACAAAGAGGATTATAAATCGATTAGCTTACGAACGGGGGCTTGTTTTTGTTCAAGTACGCACTAGTGCTACGCCATTATATTGAAATGCTTTAATTCTACGTTCAACTTTGGTAGTCTATCGAAGTATTTTGTTTGATAAACCATTTTGCATTAGCAATGCAAAGAAGCAAGCGCCTTTCACAGTCGAGCGCTAAAGTGCGGAGGCGACTGCGCTTCTGTAATGTTAGGATTTTTAATATTGCATTTTGGGCCAGTTCTTTTTTCCTATATCCCCATCGATAAACCTAAYAGAAGAAAGGAAGCTCTGAAATAATTCTCCTTCATCGGTGCGCCGCAGTAGAACAAGTTACCTCTCTCTCTTCTCACTCTCGCCGGCGATTGTCCCTCTCCATCGCTTTTCTCACTTTTCATCTCACTCTCTCATTCTGTCTTCTTGCTAATCTAAATCCTCTTGTAACAACCGAAGTTGTGCAATTAAAGCATTAGTCACCTTTCGCGAGGTATTTCATGCTCATAGTTCCTGAATCCTTTTGACTGGTAATGGACATGGTCTTTGGTAGTAGAGCATATTATCTGGTTTCTTGTCTTTCAGGATTCTTTCCACTCACCCTCTGGCTCTGTCTCTCCATCTCAGCGGTTTAGTTCATTTTTAGTCTCTTTCTCTGTCAAACGAAGGTGTTGATCTGTTTTGAATGTGTTGTGTTATAATCTGAAACCCTACAAGTCTCTGCCAAAATTTTCCGAGTTTAAAGTATATAATGAACCATTATTTTAGAGTGGACTGCTGTAGATAGCTTCTCTTGAAACCCCAACCTCTACAACTCATGAAAGGTGGATGCTTAACTGTGCCTTAAGTATAGTTATTTGCTATTATTCAAGAGTTTCTTATTTCGGTACTCTTCTCATATTTCTTGAATTTGAGGGTTACACATTTGCTCCTTTGACTCTGCCCATCTTTTTCTCTCTTTGAATCATCTCTATTAATAATTAAAATTCCTAATGATTAGACAATGTTGATTTGATTGATTAGGATGTCCAATGAAGGTCCAAGAAAAGATCCAGCATGGAAATATGCACACCTGGAAAATTCTCACGACTAAAGTACCTTTGTTTGCAATTTTTGTTCGAAAACAACAAAAGGAGGAGTACATAGATTAAAGCAACATCTTGCTGGTTGTTATAGAAATGTAACTGCTTGCAAAGAATGTCCAAATCATGTAAAATGAGAAATTAGAGAACATTTGTCTAAGAAAATGTTAGGACAACCCCGATAGTAAAGACCTATTCTAGGAGGGGTAAGAAAGGAATTGTGTTAGGAGGGGAAGTACGTAATTTGTATGGAGGGAAGGAATAACGGTTTGAGAGTGGGGACCATGTTAGGGGAATGAGGAGAAGAAAAGGGAGGGGAAGAATAGGGAGGGTATCATCCTTGTTGTGAGTGCTTAGAGTTTGTTTGGGAGAGAAGACCCACCCTCTCGAAAAGGTGGGGTGCTTGTAACGCCTACGGGCTTGTCTTTTTCTCTGAATATCAATCCCACAAGTGAGGAATACCTCACAGAAAAAGGGAGTGAAGGGTGAAAGAAATATTGTACATGAAGTTGAGGATGTAGAGGTTACTTTACATGAGGAGGAAGATGATGATTTGTGGGTAAATAGTCCAAGAAAGAAATTGTCATTAAGTCAAAGATCTCGAGAAGCTAGTTTAGAATCAGTTAAATCTTCTGCTAAGCGAAGGCAGGAAGGTCCAGTAGAACTAGATGCAGAATCAAAATTGAATGATTCTCATAGGAAAAAAATGAGGGATCATGCTTGTCAAAGAATTGCAAGATGGTTCTATGATGCTGGAATACCCTTGAATGCTTGCAATTATGATAGTTTTGTTTCTATGATTGAAGCAATAGGACAATATGGTGTTGGGTTGAAACCACCAACCTATTACGAATTGAGAGTGTCATTGCTTAAAAAAGAGTTAGGAGCAATCCATGAGTTGATGAAAAGTCACAAGGAAGAGTGGGCTAAGGTTGGATGCACTATCATTGCAAATGGATGGACAGATAAAAGAAATAGGACATTGATTAACTTCTTAGTTAATAGTCCTAAAGGCACTATATTTATTAAGTCTGTTGATGGTTCCTCATATGTGAAAAGTGGAGAGAAAATGTTTTAACTTCTTGATAAATTTGTGGAACATATTGGAGAAGCTAATGTTGTTCAAGTTGTTACTGATAGTACCTCAATGAAACATTTATGTTTAAATAATTTACATATAGACCTTGGAAATAACGATACAAATTTTTAGTTGTTTAATGTGTTCTTATTTGACCTTATCATTAGGCAAATTGTCAGAAGCAAAACAACATTTGGTTTGGTCGCCGTGTGTTGCTCATTGCTTAGATTTGATGCTGGAAGATATATCTAAAATCCCTAATATCACGAGAACACTAGAAAGAGCCATGGAGATTAGAGGTTATATTTATAACCAGTCCCATTGTGTTGGATATGATGAGACGCTTCACCAATCAAAAGGAGTTGGATAAACCGTGTAAGATTCAATTTGATAATGCTTATATCATATTGTCGAGCATTCATTGTCAAAAGAACAACTTGAGAAAGATGTTTACTTCAGACGAGTGGAACTATAACAAGTGTAGCACGGAGCAACAAGGCGAGCAAATAGTTCAAAGTGTGTTGATGCCTACTTTTTGGACTGCAATTGTATTTGCTCTTGAGGTTTTAGGCCCTATAGTTCAAGTCCGTAGATTGGTGGACGACCAAAAGCCTTTTGTGGGATATATTTATGAAGTTATGGAAAGAGCTCAGGAATCAATAGCGAATTCCTTTAATGGGAAGGAAGAATATAAAGACATTTTTGATATCATTGATAGATGGGAACTTCAATTGCACCACCCTTTGCATGAAGCTGGATATTATTTGAACCCAGAGTTATTTTATTCAAATCCACACATTCAGCAAGATTTTGACAGGTTTGATAGGTTGTTCTGGTGTCTATCGAGGTTAGTTCATCCTTTTGAAATACAGGATAAGATATCGGATGAGTTACTCTTGTATCATGAAGTGAAAGGACTTTTGGGACACCCCATGGCTATTAGGCAAAGAAATAAGAAATCTCCAGGTAATGTTTAATTTTGATTTTGTCAATGTTAATTTAGTATATTGTTGAAAATTGCTAATATAATTTGGTCCAATAGTTGAATGGTGGAGTCTGTTTGGTGCTTCAACTCCAAACATGCAAAAGTTCGCCATTAAAATTCTTGGTCTCACCTGTAGTGCCTGTAGATATGAACGCAATTGGAGTATTTTTGGAGAGGTCTTCTCATATTTTAAATAAATAGTTATCTTTTGGGCTAAGCTATAACCTATTGGTTTGAACTTAAACAACAATTTTGGTACTTGCAGCTTCATAGCAAGAAAAGAAATAGGCTTGCTCAAAATCATTTGAATGATATAGTCTTCATAAAATATAATCGAGCATTGAGACACCAATGTAATTTTCAAGACATCAATCATCGAATCTCTTTAGATGAAATTAACAAAAGTAATGAATGGTTGGTTGAAGAGAATGATGATTTACCATGGGATGATGTTGCTGTTGTTGGAGTGGCTGAATCTGTCTATCAATCTAGAGAAAGTACTTCAAAAACTGCAAATACTGCTTCATGTTCATCTGCATCGATAGATGTGGAAATTGATGGTAATGAGACCGAAGAAGAAGAAGATTTAGACAACTATAAGGTTGATGACGATGATGGAAAAGCTGAGAATGAGAGCCTATTTAGTGATAACGAGTTTTGATTATTAAGATTGTTTTTATGATTTTGTGTACTCTTTGTTGAAATACAAAGTATATTTGAACAATGTTAAGCTAGCTTTGTCTTTAATATTTAATATCCCATATTTACTTTACCTCATTTTTCGTACTAATAGTAACTATTATGTGCATAGATTTCATATATTATGTTGCTTGCAGAAAAATGGTTCCTTTTAGTTTTTTTAGTTTGTCATGTCGTGGTTAAGCTTTTGAAGATTGTTGCACTTTAGGTCAACCTGAGCCTAGCTCGGTCTAGGCACACATCTCCTACTAATAGGTCATAAGTTCAAATCTCCACTCCATCTATTGTATTAAAAAAAAATTGTTGCACTTTAGAACGCCTAGAACTTTGGAAAACATGACCAGTTATCTTACCTATTGAAGACTTGAAATAATGATTCGCTTAAAATATTCTCCAAAATAAAAATATTTTTGAAAATCGATATATATATATATATTATATATATTTTTTTTTTGACGGGATAAAATCAAACTTGTTAACATTGTAAAGAAAAGAAACAAAAAAATTAAATAAAAGAAAGAAGAAAAGTCTTAAGTGTCTAACTTAGATCGATCGAGCCTCGGCCTCCTAACCTTAGCCGAAAGAACTCAAATTGGTTAGATATCATATGATGTGTCTTGTAGAAAATGCTCCAAGTGGAACAATTTATGGAGGCCGCTTTACCAAAAATACCCGAAGTTTTTTAAGAAAATAATTGAAACTAAATAGATTAAATTTCAATTTTCATGTTAGCAATGCCTAGCAAATCAAAATATAAAATTTTGACATGGTTCTATTACAATGTCAATCTCAAAAGTAAAAATCAGAATCTAATTGAGATAAATAAACTTCAAACTGAAAATCAATGTAATCTAGAGAACGTTTTAACCAACTGGAAATTACACAAAACTACGAAGAAAATGTCAAATACTTGAAGATGCTAAACCTATTGTTTCTTGCAGTTCTATAGGACCTCTTGACCTCTTCTTATCCATTAATCGCTACAGTGCTTTAAACGGTTGTACCGTTGCAAAATGCTGATCACTGTTTCTTAATTTGGGTGATCTGATGCTATTAAATGATATTCTGTACAGTGTGCAGGTTGTCAAAAGTATCACAAACTGGTCGACAATCTTGGCCTCATAGTAGAGTATGACTTCCAGGAGGAAGACATGGATGTGGACTCGAATTCAGATCAAGTTTGATTATGTTCTAACGATATCATTTCAATGTTTCGACTTTCGTTTTGGATCGTTTCCATGACGTTTGTTCCACAGATGATGATATCTTGAAATTTCATGCCATTATTTGCCATTCCATTGTTTCCTGGAGGGACAGCAATATCATAATTTGACAGGCAAGAATGATTGTTGCTCTAGCATTCTGATCTCAAGGCGTGGAGTAAAAGTAGTTAGCCTTGTTGATGTATAAGTTTTACGGTCATCTGAAAGGAGATTGTTTTTCATTTAAAAAAAAAAAATTGAGGTTGCAATTGACAAAGGAAAAATCAATTTACTACTCTGCTTGCTTATTCTTAGGTACAAAACGACGTATGAATTCTATCATTTCCATTACAAACAGAACAATATGTGGAAAATATGGTGCATCTTGGTAAGAAATTTTGATGGGTGATGTGCAATGGATAGAGATGGAGTGTTTTCTTTCTTTTGCTTCTTCCTTCTCCTTAGCTGGAAGAATTGTTGCATTACATCTGCACATTCTGATGCCAATACACCTCGTCGAATCGTCATCTTCGGGTGGAATGGATGGACAGGTGCTGGCTTCTCAGGCCGTTCTGAGACGTTCTCCTCCCCACCATCAGGAAAAAGTCTGTGGAGGGTCAAATAAATCAGAGGAAACGAGAGTGATTGTTTATAGATTGAAATGTCAAATTTCTAAGTCAAGTCAAACAGAACTCTTTCACGAAACAAAGTAGAAACAGAAATCAAACTGCTATCTGCCTAATCACATTCCTTATACATGTGACTATATATCAAATCCCATTGAATGAGGAATGGCCAGAACAAAGCTAAGAGTTATTATAATTAATGGATGCTTTGATGGTAAATTGCTTACCTGATCCAGCTGCCATCAGCTCCAAGAAGCTTATTTGGTGCTCCCCACACAAGATTTTCAATTCGAGCTTGTAGTATCGCTCCAGCGCACATAGGGCACGGCTCAAGTGTCACGTAGAGGGTGGTCTCCTGAGAATATCAACAAATGATCCAATACCAATCATATGGTTAATAATAATAATATAAAGAGGATGCATAGCATATCTTCCTCTTCGTACAACATAAATGTTCAATGTAAGAACCGATTTAGAATTGATAAATGCATTGTGCTTGATTACGAAGACCACATGAATAAATAGGCGGTAAAAGTAGTAACAGAAAATTACAGCAAGCCTCCACGTCTTTAATAGCTTTGAAGCCTCCCGAATGCAGATCATTTCGGCATGGGCTGTGGAATCTCGAAGCTCTTCCACCCTAAAAATTGAACTCATCAACATCCAAAAGAAAGCAATCAACTGATCAAGATAGGCATTCTGCCAAAGTACTTACAGATTGCAGCCACGAGCAATAATTTTTCCATGTTTGACCAATACTGCTCCAACAGGCACCTCCCAAGTATCAGCCGCCTTCTTGGCTTCAGCAAGTGCTTCCCTCATAAACATTTCATCAATTTTTCGCTGCTCACTTTCGAGTATGTATGCTTCTTCCCATTCATCAAACCGATCTCTTAGAACTTGCTTGTTCCTTTGAAGCTTCCTTTGTTTCACTTCCCCATCCTTGGTTCCAGTTGTTGATATCTCTGGTAATGTTGCATCAGAAGAACGTCCCAACTGCTCCGCAGAGCTGCTTGCTAAGGCATCATCTTTACCACTTCGAGAAATTTCTTCAATAATTGGAGATCTTCTCATGCCTTGGGGAGGCAATGGTAATGATGACTGTTCTATATCCAAACCAGAAGAAATAACGTCAACCTTCCCACCATCTGTCAAGATAACTTCTCCAGAAACCAACAAATTCCCACCTGACGGCTTCCTCTCCATTATATTTGGGGAAGATGGGGTATCTACTTCATAATATATATATTTTTCTTTCCTATCACCAGATGAATCTGGACTCCGGGCAGAAGGATTTGGTTCTTCCAGCTGAACTGAAGAAGAAGTGGTTCTTCCCATTTTTGTGTTATCAGTCTCCTCATGTTCACGGCCAGAAAACCATGTCTCATTACTAACAGACTCATTTGGTGAATTCCTTCCACCTGATCTTAAAGCTGAATCAGAGGTTTCAGCACGTGAACTCCAACGGAGATGAACTATGTCTGAAATGACGTTCCACAAAGACCTACCACTTCTCTTGACAATTGCATTTTCACTATGTGCACTAACCTCAGGATCATCAGTTTTGGGAGGCTGCTCAGTAGTTGAGTCCATTACATGCCACATCTCATCAGAAGGACCCTTGGTTCCAGAGCTCCGTGATGAGAGCCTTGAGTCATGGTCCTTCATTTGAGAATCTACAGAAATCTTCTGCCCATAATTCTCTTCCTGGAGTAAATCTACTTCAGAGATATCCTCTTCCTTCTGGGTTTCAGAAATTAAGAGTTCATTCCTGGACTTCTCAATGAACTCTCCAACAAACTGTGCAGACGATCTCTCTAGACGGTCAGCTGAACCTAGAGAATCATCAGGAGTAATAAGGTATACAGGCTCCCCAGTACTCTCATCTGCCCCACTTTCTCTATAAGATTTAGAGTGCAAAGCTGGACTTCCCCGTGACTGCATGTAGGGAGCACCTGAACTGCTTCCTGATGTTCTTCTGGATACTACTTGGCTTGCCATTTCACTAGTAGAATCTACTCGCAATGGATCTCTAGCTACAAGCTGAGATGGAGGAGGCATTAACACTGCCTGTGTGCTTTTATTTTCTTCCTCATTTACACCAATCCGTTGATGACTACTTTGGGAAATTAAATTCATGGATCCTTGAACTTTTGATTTTTTGACTTGATTTTTAGCCTCTTTTCCCAATTCAGTATGCACCACACGGTCATTATTTTGACTATTTCTATTGGTTTCGTCGACAGTTTTTTCCACTAATGATTTATTAGTTTCTTGCTTGAAAATTCTATTTTCAAATGTTTGTTCAGAGGATGAAGCTGATAATTTATCGGTAGCGTGAACCACTGAAATGTTAGAGGCATCTCGGGAACCTTTTCTGGACATAACTTGCTGAGAATCCTTTTGATCTGTCGAAGACTTTATGTCTTTAGCCACACGATTTGATGCATTAACCGATACTGCATTTTGTTCCTCATTTCGTCTTCTAATTTCAGAACTTGAAACAGAGGTGTTGGTGTTGCCCACTTTGGTTACTGATAGAACACCAAGATGAAGAAAATTTTGTCTTGAATCCTTTTCTCCAATGGCATGATTTCTCATTTGACGATGTCTTTCTTCAATCTCTTGATTAGAAGTTACAAGCACATCTGTACTTTCACCTGCATTTATCACTGCATCAGACTGACTTGTCTGATGAGAGATCCTTTCTCTCTCAATTTTCCTATTTTCTGAAACTCCCAAAAGTTGTTGAAATGAAGAACTTCGCCTTGAAATTTTTTCTTTATGGACATGACCAACAGTTTCATGATTGTCGCTGCTTGCTTTTTTTATGAGATTTGCATCTAATTCTAGGTTTTCATTCCCACTGGTAAGTCTTTTCTGAGAACTAGAAATTGCTTCTGCATTACTGCTGTTTATTTGTGATACTTCTGCTAGTTTTTTCCCTTCATTTATAAACACACCACCAACTTTCTTACCCGATACATCATATTGTTTTGATTGCTCATTCAAAGTCACTGCCATTTTCAATTCCTCTTCCTTGTCAACCAACTTCTTCTTGGAACTTGAAGTACTTTCATAGCCACTTTTCCTGGTCTTTGACAATCTTGAGTTCATCTCAGAGCTTTCATTTAAGGAGGATGTTACTCTTGTTGATACTTCACTAATTTTCTTCTCTGAGTTCTTCCTCAAATGCCAATCAGCACAATTCCCTATCGTAATATCACCTAGCACTGATTCCTCTTCTCGCTCCTTCAAATTGTCTCCTTGTCTCTTGAACTCTTCCTTGATCTGTCCATCTAATCTTTCTCCCACATCACTCATCGTGTCATATCTGTACCCACTCGACGATTCCTCCACAAATTGCACATTCTTGTCTTCAACTTCAGCATCGTTCTCAATATCCCCAGACGAGGAAAGTGAATAATAAGATGAACAAGTAGACCCTTCTTTTCTTAAACACTGACTGTCACCTCTTGAATGAACTAACTGATCTCCATTCCGTCTATATCCATCTTTGCTCAACTCAACTGCAATTGATCCAACTCTATTACTTTGTTTACTATTTAAAGAACCATACTTATTGATTTTCCTCTCTTCTCCATCACCTCTACTATCGCTCTCTCTTTTTCTGTCTACTCTTATCTTTTCCAATGAACTTAACTTTTTCTCCTGAACACCTCTTCTCCCCCTTCTCTCCAGTTCTACTCTTCTCGACGAACTTATACTTCTCTCCTTAGCCCCGGACTTTCCTCGGCTCCCCAGTTCCACCCCCCTAGATGACTTAATCTTTTCCTGGCTACTAAAACCCTCCCCTATCAAGCTGATCATTGCCTCAGCAATGTCTTCTTCATCATATCCATCCGACCTATCAAATCCACAATCACTCTCAGAAATCATACAACAGCTTCTGTATCTCCTTCCCTCACTACAATGACAACTCCTACCATCACTAATGGAGTAGGGTACCTCATAACAACCCTGAACACGCCCATACTCCGGAAGCGTGTAACAGAACCGGTTTCGGCCACCCAACATCAACCTTCTAGAAATCGACCATTGAAGAAGGGTGGATTGCCTCGGCCCATAGAAAATGCTAGGGCCTAAAGCCACTCTGTGGATTGGAAATGCATAACAAACGCAACAAGAACAACACGATGATGATGAAAGATTCAATGGGTGGTTTCCATTACATCTTTCATTTAAGAAGATGGGACGCTCATTAAAGCAATGGGAAATAGGCCCTTTGCTCCGGATGGAGTATACAGTGGAGCTGACATAATTGTTGTACATAATTTTTGTAATTCTACTCACCTGAAGAGAAGGCTCTCGAGGAGTTGAGGGATCGCGAAAACTGAAGCTCGGAGAAGAACAACAACCATCTGGGGCCGCGTGGATTTTGATTTTTGAGTAGAGTAACTCACCTTCTGCAACAATGGAAGTAAAAAACAATTGACAGCTCGATGCCGCAGCTTTGAATCGGTGGGTTGACTCGGAGAGAGAAGCTACTCCACGCTATTGTCTCCATAACTTCGGCCAGATTGCTGGGCTTGTAATGAGTTATATTTCAGGCTTGGCCCAAATGACATTTAGAAATGGGCTTTTATTAACACAGCCTTGCCCAAATAACATTAGGGATGGGCTATTATTAACGTGGCCCGGCCCAAATACACATTTTCCTTAAAATACAAAAAAATTGGGGGGAGGTTAAGCAGGATACTGTTGAGGTATATAAATGTTGGTCCAAATACATGTTTTTTTTTTTTACAGGAATCCAAATACATGTTTAAAACTTTATTTTTGCTAATTATTTCATCAAGTGGAATAGTAAATATATTCCACTAACCATAAAAATAGAGCTTATTATGAAAATATCCTGAGTTAGAGTGTGATATTTTTATTAGTGAATATTATTAGGATAATGAATCTCATGATTACTACGACTCTTTATTTTGAATTATTTGAAAATATCCATTACAAAAAAAGAACTCACTTTTAAGTGAAATAATCAAACATCATTGTTAGTGGGTTTTTTAATCTAGGAATATTAACTATTTAAGATAGGTTTTTATTTATTTATTTTTTTTTTTTTGGAAATCGAACTCACAACATGTTGATTGGAGATATATGTCAATTAACGCTAAGTTATGCTCGCTTTGGCACCATTCAAAATAGTTAATTTAATATAGTTAGTATAATACTCAATTAGTAAGACGTTGAGAAGTATGGATTAAGATGGGCCTTTTTATATTTATACTCCAATAATTTTTCTCTTCGTTTATTTCTCTTTTGATGTTTTAGTCTCTATAATCAATATATAGGACCACACTACTCATGGACAGGTGGTTAATTCATGTCCTAAATCAATTTAGGATATTTTAAATTTACGACAAGATTTTTTTTTTAATTAACGTTAAATATTGTAGGATCCACCGACTATGATATGAGATCGTTGGTATTCCTATGCAATTAAGTTCCTCTCATGAAATAAAAAATTAGTGATACGTGGATGGAACTATTAATTAGTAGATTAATGGATTATCCGGGTGATTAGTCATGTAAAAGTACAATCCAAAAAGGACAAAGAGGACAGTGAGCAATCATATAAAATATATATTGTTTRGGATTAGGAATCTTGTGGGGATTGATATTGAAGGTAGAGTTGTGGTACAGTTGTGAGGAAGGCAAACAGATGCGATACCCATATGTACTCTGCTCCTTCCATACCCAAAAATCACATCTCCATCACTTTAGTCAATGCATTTTCTTCATTAAAAAAGAAAAACAAAAATAAGTTGTCATGTGTTATTATAATACTATCTATGATCATCTTGTCCCTAGTGCTACTTATTCTATATACAAAAACTGGCCACCACTTCTATGTTGTTTTTCATTACTTTAGCCAAAATTGCCCATATCAAATATAAATCAAATTGTCGAGTCGAAATCCGTTGTGAACTTCTTATACCGACAATGAAAAGAGTTGTGTTTTTTATTTATGAATAAAATATCATTTTTTATTCTACCGTTTTAAATCAACATGAACAAATTGAGCTTCTAAGTTGGTTAGCAATAATTTTTAGGGAAATGCTTTCAATTGAAGAGGAACAAAATTGGAGGGGTGAATAGCAAGTTCCACCAAGAAAAGTACTAAAATTCACAATTTGTTTTGGTTCTTGTTGACATCAAAGCACTCATTTCAGCCTGAAAGTCAAGTTTATCCGCTAACAATTATGAGTTATCTTCTTCCTATTGTTAGTTTACCTATCACTGCCACTACGTCTTCAAAAATGGTCCAAATTTAACTAAATTTCTCTCGATATTTATATTTCGTTTTGAACAAATAAAATAAGAAGGGCAAACACTCCATTTTTTTCTAAATGGTACTCCAAATATGAATAGTAGGAATGATTTAATACCTTAATTTTGTTATTTTTTTTCCAACAAAACAGTGATTCGAACTTTCGATATTTAGAGATGTAAGTAATTTTTTACTAGTTGAGTATGCTAATAATGTTCTTAGGATCAACTAGAAGAAAAATAAATAGATATAAGTTTTTTTTTATATATATATCATTTCTCTCTATAATTTCTACTATTAACTTTAAACAATTTTTTTTTTTTTTTGCCTCTCATAAACTTTAGGATTCTAAAAATAGTAGTCATATTAAATAAGTTTACAACAAAGGAGAAGGATTCAAATTTATTCTACTTTAATTTCCTTTTTTCTAGAAGAGTGAGAGCTTTTTTCAATTTTGCATTGAACTCAGAAAAAGAGTAATAGTAATAAAAATTATGATATCCCGAATTAATTATTGAGTTTTATATATTAAATTTATTTTGACTATTTTCAATATTGTTAATTATAATGACTACATATAGACCTAAATCTTTAAATTATTTTATTCGGATAGCAAATAATTGTAGATAATGTTTAAGCCGCAACCAATCTCTTCCGTATGATTTGTGAGAATTATTTGACAAAATTAAAATTCTAAAGACTTTGACATTATTTCAACTCAATACATTTTTTAATTAACTTCTAAATATAATACATTTAAATCAATTCATATAACTTTTTTGTTTTAAGAAATTTTTTTTTTTTTTTTTTTTGGGACTTACGAATGAGTTTTCTGAAGGAAAAATTACAGAAATGAAAAATAATATTACAATTTTGAACAAGAAAAAGGTAAAAGGTAAAGGTAAAAGCAAAAGGTGTATGAAATTTAATAGATGAAAAATGTAGGGAAAAGAAATAGGAAATTGAATAATTATTCGGCCGACATTTTTGAATTGGGATTTTTGGTTCACTTTATTTATTTGGTAACTGACACAAAAAACTCATTTATTACAATCATACCCCCCATCACATCCGAGGCATTAGCACCACCAGATCCCTTCAAAAGATTTCTTCTTATTAATGCCGAACCCGATCCGACCCGGACCCATCGTCCCCTGTATTTGTTGCAACACATCAATAACAGTTCACCAACCCCCAACCTTCCCTCACCACTCTCCATACGTGGCCCAATCATCGCCAACCACGTCACCACATTGGTCACCCGCGTTCAATTTATCATTTTTAGTTTTGTTCCTTCCTCTAGTTCTCACCTATCTAATCTATGGCATAAATCCTTCTACAAAACATCAATAAATATATGGTTTAGATCGGATTTTGTCCTAGTCAAAAAAAAAAAAAAAAGAGTGAGATCGGATTTTGCCGACTCTTTTCTTTTTTAGCATGATAAAAAATTTAATTATCGAAATATTATACTTCAAAATTATTTTAAAAAATATTGTACCTTTTTATTCGCACGCAAATTCCACGAATAAAACAAGATATTGTATCTTTTACTATTCTTCTACTAAGCAAGATCGATCATTTGAAAAGATGACGTTTACGCCACACGAATAAAACAAGATATTTGAAAGTTAGAGGATTGAAATATAATATTTGAAAGTTAAGGATGAAAAAAAGAAGAAATATAAAAATTATATGGTATTAAAACTCTAATATATTATTGGTATTCGAAAAATAGACTTAGCAGCAAAATGCATCCTTTATTGTTGAGAAAATTGTTGTCCCACCACACTCTTTTCTTGCTTATTTGATTAGGACCATTTGGTTGAAGTGAAGAAAAATGGAACTCCATTGATTGGGACCATTTGGTTGGACTAAATCCAATTTGATCTACAATAATTGATGTGATTATATATATATATATATATATATGTAAACATAAAATAGCTATAGCATATTGTTTTTCGGATCGATAGAGATGGAGATTTCTTTTTAATATAACATAAATGTTGAGATGAGGAATTGAATCTGTAACCTTTAAAGACGGAGCATGATGTCTTAATCGATGAACTAAGTTCATGTTAGTATGGAGATAAAATGTAATAATAACATATTTTCCTTTTCTTTTATGTTAGTTTTCTTCGTTATGCATTAATTTTTTGTCAACCTATAACTGTTTGATTATAAATAAAGCCTTGATTGGAAGTAAATTTGCTAGTTAGAATTTTAATTGCCTATTTATTAAAGGCTGTTTTGACAATATATATATTTCTTTTACTTTTAATATTTCTTCTTATGAAGAATAAACATATATGTTTGATAAATATTTATTGTTTGTTAAAAAAAATTTGAAGGAAAAAGAAGGAACATTTCTCTATTTTAAAAATCATATTATTATTATTATATCTAAGCTACTTATTCAATTTGTGAGAAACTTATTAACATTTGAACGAAAACTGTTTGCTCCAAAAATGTATACACAATTTTAGTAAAGGTTTGAAAAATAATAAATAAGAAAGAGGGGACATTGACCAATATACCCTTTTGTAAAAAAGTTAGAAACAATAAGTTGACCGTAATCAAGATAACTATAGGTAAAACATTAACAAAAATATAATATTAAACTAAAGAAATATCTAAATCCATTGAAAATTGTTTAGTAAGAAAATTAGGCCAAGGGAGTAGTGCGCATCTACGCTATTTAAATGGATAGCTTGGCGTTTTATATTTGCCCTATTCTCATTCCCAATTTGCTTCCTTTTTTTCCCCTCTTCTGTGGAAAAAGAAATAAATAAAAAATAAAAAATTATGCCCTTGGGAGAATTACATGTCAATGAATTTTTTTATTTTTATTAGGTTGTCCTTTTGTACCTCGCATAAATAGTCCTGTCTGTTTCCTGCTTTTCTTAAAAGACCAAAATCTCTTTATTTAAGTTTCAAAACCTAACTTAAATATATGTGTTTTAGTTCGTAGAAATTCGATATTATACTATTTCGAGGGTATAAAACTCATATTTTATACTACCTTCTTTTACATATCATATCTTAAATAGTATTTCAAGTCAAAGTATTGATCCCAAATATCTTTTTTCTATTTCAATGCATATGGAGTGGAGCTAAGGTGGGTGGTTAAATAGGTATATCCCTCAACTCTTTCAACTGAGATTGGGGCTCTCTCTCCCATTAAATTAAAAGTGAGAATGAAAATAACTAAAAGAAGTAAATGGAGAAAAAAGAAAAGAAAAAAAAAAGGGGATAAAGTGAATTTAGAAGCTGTACTTTTGGGTTACCATTACCATAGAGTGGAAGACAGAATTATAATGAACAGTTCACCTGAAAATGAATAATGGTAGAAAGAAAGGTACTGCTCATCAACACCAATTAAATTATCCAAACCACTCTACCATGTTGACCCGCCACCAATCACTCATTTATTTTATCTTATTATATTTTTTCTATTTTCACGATAATACAATAAAAATATCATTTACAATTTATTTTGAACTGCTATCAATATTACAATTTGAGAAGTAACCTACTTAAATTAAATTATAAAAATCTTTGTAAGGTCTCCTTAACATCGCATGTGGCTTCCTTTCACCTTTTTCGGTCTCACCTATTCTTTTAGTTATTTTCTTACTTACACGATTTTTTGTTTTATAAATTTTAGAAATAACAGATAAAAATTGCCTTTTTTTCCCTCATATTTGATCCTTTTGTTTTTTTTTCCCCCACTAGCAGTTGAGGTGACACGGTCATCATTTTGTTTGGGTTCTTTCTATTGCTTTTTTGCTTGTACAAATTGACAATCTTGTGCGACATAATTCAAGATACTGATTTGGAAGGTTTAATAATAATATTTAAAATAATAATAATACTGATAGTTCAAGAAATGATTTAAGTCCTATTTGATAAAATTATAAAGTTTCTACTTTTTTTTTTAAATCGAAAACAAAATTTCTCCGGCTAAACTTTGAAAATATTGAGAAAATATTGCCTTTTTAAGAGATTGAGAAAATGTTGCCTTTTTAAGAGGACACAATTAATTTAAATAGTAAAAAGTTTTTCTAATAAATTGTCTTTTGTGAAAAGCTATTGGAATATTTTTTTTTTTTTTTTGTCAATGGATAAATTAGGATCTGTTTCGCTAAAGGAGGAATATGTATTTTGGGAGATTTGTTTTAGTGTTTTAAAAATTTTAATTTAAAATTTATTAGACGCGTAATCGCGTTAAAAAAATATAAAGGAATTTACTATTTTATGTTATAAAAATTTCATTTTTGTTAAAATTAAAATATGTAAAATATATAACATACTATTGTAATAGGGTATAATTCTACGGAACTTATAACATAGGTTAATAATTAATTAATATTATTTTAGATTGAATTAAATATATAGTTGGTAATTAGAGTTTCTACAAAACTTATAACATAGGTTAATAATTAGTTAATATTATCTTAGATTGAATTAAACATTTAGTTGGTAATTAGAGTAGTTTACAAACATTATTACTAATAAACACTTTGAACAATTTTTTAAATTAAGATTTAATTTCCAAATAGAATTTGCTATCAAACACATATAAGTAAGAAAACAACATGAAAACACTAAAAACATGTAATATAACTATTTTTTTAATATGTGGTTTTAAATTACAAACCAAATGCACCTTTAAATACTAAATTATTAGTGTAAAGAGATTAAACTTCTAGCCTACCAAATATTTTAGCCTAGAACTAATGAATCTCTTTTTAAAAATTAGAATAACCTCCCTAATATTACCATAAAATCCCTTAAAGAACTTAGTTTTTCAATTGAAAAATCTAACCTATGAACTCCTAGTCCTACTATGAGAATAAATTTAAAAGAAGCTTCTATTTGAAAGGTTTGAAAATTAGGTTCTAAATATAGATGATGATCATATAAATTAAATGGTGTATCCATAACCTAACTAACATTTAGTTTCCTAATGCCTTTTATCTCATTAGAATTTAGGTCAAACTCGTCAGCCGTTTGAGAATATATTTTTTTGTTATACATTCTCAAAAATTAAACTAACTTTGCTCAATGATCTTTCGGCTTTTACCTTTCAAAAAAAAAATTTTTTTTTTTGAAGTGTTAGCTAAATGAAAGGAAAAAAAAACAAATATTTGAAAATGACTATTTTTAAGACCTTGTTTATTTAAAAAAAATAAATAAATAAAATAAGCTTATTTACTAAATATTCATTTTTGTTTTTGTCTCAGATTCTTTAATTCTTATCTAAATTAAAAACCAATGTTAAAGTTATTTTTCTTTTTAATATTTTATTTAACTAGAATGTTAAAAACATCTCTAAAAAATATTCAACAAAACAAAATAAATTACGAACAAATAACCTTAAAATTCTAGATAAGTTCATTTAAAAAGTCGATTTCAAATAAAGAAAAATTATTAACAAACAAACACGAAATTTAAAAAAAAAAAAGTAAATTAGGATGAAAAAAACACGCAATTATACAAAATGTGGTTGGTTAGATGGTTATCTCAGAAAATAAATCAATGATAAAGTGGTCCATCTGGAGAGAATTATTAAAAACAAAGTGACAAATGAAAACAAATAATGTGGTCATTGAATACATTTAAGACAAAGAAAAGTCACAAAACTTGCATGTTGGGGTAAGCTTATTATTATTATTATTATTTTATAATAATAACGATTTTATAGAAAATCATCAGAACGTACGTAATTAAACTCAAGTTGTCCAATGTTCATTGCTTCTGCTTCACATACTCACATTCTTGTCTCTCTTGCATTACCTTACGCTTTGAATATTCCCACGTGACAACACCCAATCGTGTAATCTTTTGATTCGTTGTAGCCTAGAAATTCTAAACCATATCCATCAAAACAGATCCAACGGACAAAATTTAAAGCCAACGCTACACACTGATATTGAGTTTCTAAACATGAGTTTCTTTATTTCTTATTTTCTTTTTTCTTTGTTTTATTTTTCAAAAAAAAAAAATAATAATAAATAAATAAATAAGTAGAACCGCGTTTAGTAAGAGTTTATTATTTCTTATTTTTTCAAAACAGAAGCATATTTAATATTATTATTTTTTAAAATTTTATATACAAAATATAAATTTTAAATTAAATAGTCAAAATTTATTTTTATTTATTATATATTTTACAAGTCAACAATCGTAGAATAATGCTTTTGTTTATGTTTTGGAAAAAGTTGAAAAACTGGAGCATGAAATAAGATACTTGATTTTATTATTTCTTTTAATTTCTACGTAATTTTGGAAATATTTTTTCAAAATAAAAAAAAAGAGAAGTATGAATAGTTATCAAATATTTACGTTTTTTAAAAATTATAAATGATAAATAAGACAAAAGATAAGGGAGTGTTGCAATCTTAATTTCTAGAAATTGAAGGTTCTAGACATTCTCCATCAACTTAAATTTCATACTATTAATAACAATTTAGTGACGGATGGTTTCATATTTGATAAGAGTAGTATTTGTAACCAAATATTCTATAATAAGATTAATAGATGTGGAGAAAGACACTACGTTACACAGAGCAATTTAGCATAAAAGAAATATGTATTTTTGAGAGTAAAACGAGAAAGTCTTAAATTTTTACAAAATAAGGCATCATCTCACTTAAATGTAATATTTAGGATAAGAAAAAGTCAGATTTATGCTCTATTTGAAAGAAAAATGAATAGTTGTAATACTTCTAAGAATGCACAAATTTGAGTGAAATTTCTACCCAAATTTAAAGTTAAATTATAAGTTTGATCCTTAATTTTTTAAATTATATTTAATAATTTCTTAAACTTTAAAAGGCGTCTAATAAATCTATAAATTTTAAATATTATTTATAATAGGTCTCGAAACTTTGAATTTTTGTCAATAATATTTAAATGGTTTAAATTAATATTTAAATAATTATTAAATAAAAAATAAAAAGTGTGTGGGGACTTTTTTACACGAATTTATGGAGTTATTAAATATTGTCTTTCATATTTAAAGTCGAAACTTGTCATTTAATCAAAATTTAAATAACATAATATAATAAATACTATTTTTATTTTATTTATTTTTTGTCCCGCGACATTATTTAAAAATAATATGTTAAAACGAATAAAACTTTGTAAGAGAGTAATTTTGAATCTCCAATTCTATTTTTCAGTGCAACAAATAGGATGTAAGAATTCAAATTCATAATCTCTGAATCAGACTGATGTCAATTACCACGGACCTAATAAGAGAATGAATTCAAATTTCATGATGATCATCTATCCACGATATCTCGTAAGATTAGTTGAGATGCATGTAAGCTGGATCGAACATTTAGATATTAAAAAAAAAAAGAAAAAATTGCACTGACCTAGACTCAACCTACATATTTGTTTGGGGAAAAAAATCGAAGAAATAAAGGTATAGATAAAAGACTCGGTGAGGTTGGTTTGACTTTGACCCATCGGACACGTTTGGCATCTTCCCTGTCATCTCGGCGAATTCCTAGTTAATTTCAGCCAAAATCAAAATCCCAACTCCAAAATCTTTTTATTACAGCTTCGAATTTTTGTTTTCGTTTTCCGGAACCATGATTTCCCCCTTCCTTAATTAATTTCAGATTCTCGAATGTTTCTTTTGTGTTGTTCAATTCGGGTGTTTGCTGTAAGAAATTTCCTTCAAATTGCTTGAAGCGGAGGGAAAGAGTGCTTTAATTAAGTGTTAAATCGAAGGTTTCACAAACGAATTTTAAGATAAACTTTCAAGAGAGGAAAAAACTATAAGGTTTGTTTATTTGTTTTGTCTGTTTGTTCTTATATTATTCCGGCAGAGGGATGCAGAAGAGAAGAAGGCCCTTTCAGAGCAGAAAAAACAGTCGCCATTGGCGGTGAGCTTCTGAGTTTCTCCTGCAAAGTTAACATTTAGAGCTTTTAAGTCTCCGATGAACCCATAAATATCATAAGACGCACTTGCGTTTTCCTTTCTGCCGAATAGTAATGACATTCCCTGTCTTTTGTGTTTTCTAGGAAAGTTACCGAATTCGAAAGCACCATGCCAAGAGAGAAGAAAAATTGGTCGTTGAGATAATTAAAGCCCAGATTCTTGAAAAGGGAAGCAAAAAAAATGCGAGAGATCGGGTCCAAGTATCCGTATAAAACTTCAAGGTCCCGAGGAAGAGTTAAATACATGGGAATTTTCACGCATATCTCTCTGCTGTGCTTCTCCAGCTATTTGATGGCTTTGCAGGGAAGAGCTTTGGCGGTATCTGGCATTTCATGACAAAGTTGAAGATTTCTCTTCCTGGGTTTTTTCGACGAGGACGGAGATTACAACACCGACCCAGCTTTGTTATGTTTTTCCATTCTATCCTCTGATCCTTTCTTCTAATGTTGTTCTCTCACTGGGTTTAGGTTCTACCTTACACAACAACTTCCAAAGATTCATATAATTTCCTTTTTCTTTTTTTGGTTGGGGATTCGATTTGGGCAATGAACTTTTGAGCTTTCGGATTGGTAATGTTCTCAGAGTTGCTGTTAACATGGGCCTGTCTTGACCTTGGTATTGGGTTGGATTGGGGCAGCTGATAAAATCCCAAGGTTTCATTCGCAGGTTGTACTAAGTTTCTTTTCATTGTAGTGTCTGAGATTGGTGTCTGTTGTGAGAGAGGGAAAAAGAAAATGAGCGGCGGCAGAAGGAGAAAGCTGCATTTTAGCAAGATCTACTCGTTTGCATGTGGGAAAGCTTCTTTAAAGGATGACCATTCACAACTTGGGGGTCCGGGGTTTTCCCGGGTGGTCTTCTGCAATGAACCAGATTGTTTCGAGGCAGAAATTCGTAACTACATGGACAATTATGTGAGTACCACCAAGTATACTCTAGCTACTTTCCTGCCCAAGTCCTTGTTTGAGCAATTCAGGAGGGTAGCCAATTTCTACTTTCTGGTCAGTGGGATCCTTGCCTTTACTCCCCTTGCTCCTTATACGGCTGTCAGCGCGATTATCCCTCTTATTCTTGTCATTTCGGCTACAATGATCAAAGAAGGGATCGAAGATTTGAGGCGAAAAAAGCAGGTATCTTCTTTCCTTTTGTCAGCTTGATTGTGTTTTTGATTGATTTGGTGAGTTGAGCTTGATGCTTCCATGGCCTCTCAATCTCCTTCTCGTCCTTATATTAATCCTAATAGACTGTGCTGAATTATCATATGGAAGTTTCTGCAACTTAATTTAAAATGTCATAATGGTTGTTTTTCTTTACTAAAGAGTAGAAGGATTTGAAAGATCAATGAAAATAGTTTTGGGAAAATGATGGGAAAGATTTAGATTGCTTAATATTAATTTAGGCAACTCGTCTCACATTGGTCCCTAATTTTGCAAGTGGACCTTTTCAGGATATTGAGGTTAACAATAGGAAGGTTAAAGTGCATCAAGGTGATGGAATTTTTGCTTATACAGAGTGGAAAAATCTGAGGGTGGGCAATATTGTGAAAGTGGAGAAGGATGAATTCTTTCCAGCGGATATCGTCCTTCTTTCGTCCAGTTATGAGGATGCAATCTGCTATGTTGAGACAATGAACCTAGATGGTGAGACGAATTTGAAACTAAAACAAGCATTGGAGGTAACTTTGGATATGCACGAGGATTCTATCTTCAGAAGCTTTAAGGCTATCATAAAATGTGAGGATCCAAATGCAAATTTATACTCTTTTGTTGGTAGTATGGAGTTGGAAGAGCAACAATATCCTTTATCTCCCCAACAACTACTTCTTCGAGACTCTAAACTCCGGAATACAGATTACATATATGGGGTTGTTGTCTTTACTGGTCGTGACACGAAGGTTATTCAAAATTCTACCGATCCCCCTTCAAAGAGAAGCAAAGTTGAGAGAAGAATGGATAAAATTATATATTGTCTATTCTGTCTTCTATTTTTGCTTGCTCTTGTAGGATCTATATTTTTTGGCCTTGAGACTGATGATGATTTGGAAAATGGGAGAATGAAGAGATGGTATCTCAGGCCTGATGATGCTAAAGTTTTCTTTGATCCAGAAAGGTTTCGACTAGCTGCAATTTTCCATTTTCTTACCGCACTGATGTTATATAACTACTTCATTCCAATCTCACTGTATGTATCTATAGAAATTGTCAAAGTTCTTCAGAGCATATTTATCAATCAAGATATTAATATGTATTATGAAGAAGCCAATAAACCTGCACGTGCTCGCACCTCAAATTTGAATGAAGAACTTGGTCAAGTCGATACAATACTTTCTGACAAGACTGGAACTCTGACCTGTAATTCAATGGAGTTCATTAAATGTTCTGTGGCAGGGAGGGCTTATGGCCGTGGTTTCACAGAGGTAGAAAGGGCTATAGGTAGACGAGAAGATTCACTAGAAGCCGTAAATGGGGGGAATCACCATGAGAATGTCAACAACAAAACTTCACATATCAAGGGCTTTAATTTTAAGGATGATAGGATTATGAATGGAAACTGGGTTAATGAGCCTCATGCAAATGTCATCCAAATGTTTTTCCGTCTTCTTGCGACTTGTCATACAGCAATACCTGAAATCAACGAGGACAACGGAGAGGTTACTTACGAGGCTGAATCACCGGATGAAGCAGCATTTGTGATTGCAGCTAGAGAACTCGGCTTTGGGTTCTACAAAAGAACACAGACAACCATATCACTGCATGAGTTTGATCCTTCGTTAGGCAAGAAAGTTGATAGGTGAGTATTTGCTATTGCTACTGTTGCTATGAAGTTGCTTTTAACTGGTGGCATATTCATGAGCTTCATATATTAAGAACACGTGAGATTAATTTAAGGTGTCGATTTTAGTTTTTTTCTACTAAAAGCTTAAAGGAATTAAATGCAACAGACGGTGCACTGTTTCTAATGATTTTCTTTTCAACCAGTCCCACCCTCCCACTCATAGTGGCATATTGTATATGGTACCCTTAGTTGACATTCATTATGACATTTTTTGCACGGTGGACCTTAGACGTTGGTATCTCTCGTTTTCCATCCTCACATGTTGGTTGCCAAATGCCATCACGTCATTAGTGCTCTCTTTTTGCAGGACATATAAACTTCTGCATGTTTTGGAGTTTAATAGCTCAAGAAAACGGATGTCTGTGATAGTAAGAAACGAGGAGGAGAAAATATTATTATTGTGTAAAGGTGCAGACAGGTGTGTGGTATAGATGAAGGGTTTGCTTTGTTGAATTCTTATCTCTGCTTTAGTCAAAATTCAGAATCACCATAATTCCATTTCTCTTGCAGTATCATGTTTGAAAGGCTTGGAAAGAATGGAAGGGAGTTTGAAGAGGAGACCAAGAAACATGTCAGTGAGTATGCCGATGCAGGGTTGAGGACTTTGATACTTGCCTATCGCGAGCTTGAAGAGGAAGAACTCAGGGAATTTGATGACATGTTCACCAAGGCCAAAAGTTCTGTTAGTGCAGACCGGGAATCATTGATCGATAAAGTAACCGACAAAATTGAGAGAAATTTGATTCTTCTTGGAGCCACTGCAGTTGAGGACAAGCTCCAACATGGGGTGGGTTGAGAGGTGTCAACGGTTGATAATGGTGAACCAATATAACTTAAGGACTTGGAATTAATGCTTCTTCCTATTGTTTCTGTTAGGTTCCCGAGTGCATTGACAAGCTTGCTCAGGCAGGAATTAAGATTTGGGTATTGACTGGGGACAAAATGGAGACTGCCATAAATATTGGGTATGGATATTTGTTTTCCTGAACAGAAATGTTGATTTATGGCCTAGTTGTATCATATCAGGATTAGTACTAACTCGAGCACATAAAATTGCAGTTTTGCCTGTAGCTTACTAAGACAAGATATGAAGCAGATTGTTGTTACTCTGGAGACATTGGAAATTCAGACAATGGAAAAGACGGGAGATAAAGCTTCCATCATCAAGGTGAATCTATATTCATTCCTCAATAAGTATGCAATAGATTCCACAATGAAGAAACAGATATATCCTATACATGTTTGTCTAACATTCTGCTTATTGAGTAAGCTATGTCGTGGAAGCCAATATTGATTCATAAGTTGATGATAGGATTGGCTTTCCTTGGAACTTTTACATATCTGGGAATTGAATTTTTTTGAAAGGGTAGCCCTTTTGCTTTTTTTCTGAATGTTGCAATGCATATGTTACTTTTTCTTCAAAGATCAACCGACTCCCATCTATCCTTGTGCTGAAATCTTTCTGGCAATCTTTTAGGCGTCGAGGCAATGCGTCCTCGATCAGATTAATCGAGGGAGAGCTCAGATCACTTCGTTAAATGGGAGATCCGAGGCATTTGCATTAATTATTGATGGAAAATCACTTTCTTATGCTTTGGAGGATAATATGAAGACGGTTTTTCTCGAGCTAGCAATTTGTTGTGATTCTGTTATTTGCTGCCGTTCATCTCCAAAACAGAAGGCGCTGGTTGGTTTTCGTACTTTTAATTTTTGCTTGGAAATCACATCTGAAAAGGATTGATCCTGATTCCTGGTGGCAGGTAACAAGGTTGGTTAAATCTGGGACACGGAGAACAACTTTAGCTATTGGCGATGGTGCCAATGATGTAGGAATGCTTCAAGAAGCGGATATTGGAGTCGGAATCAGTGGTGCAGAAGGAATGCAGGTGCTTTAAAGAACTCAAAACACTTCCATTCTGACCATTTAAAAACTTAAATATTATTTTTCGAACATCTCATGAGTTCAATATTTCAACTCAGGCCGTTATGTCGAGTGATGTTGCAATTGCACAGTTTAGATATTTGGAGCGCCTGCTACTTGTGCATGGACATTGGTGCTACAGAAGAATATCATCAATGGTAATGTAACTTATATTTCTGGATTCAGAAAACTTCATCTTTCGTAATTTTCACTGTTTGACATTAATGAGTTAACCACTCTTTTTGCAGATTTGCTACTTTTTCTATAAGAATATTACTTTTGGTTTTACCATATTCTTATATGAAGCATTCACATCATTCTCTGGGCAACCTGCATATAATGATTGGTTTTTATCACTTTACAATGTTTTCTTCTCGTCACTTCCGGTGGTAGCTTTGGGAGTTTTTGATCAGGACGTGTCTGCAAGACACTGCCTCCAGGTATGCTCGGTTAAGGTGCTTATAATCCTTGACGTGTGAATTATTTATATCTTGTATTTTGAATGTAAATGAATGATTTTGACCCTCAATGTGTGAATGATATCCATCGTTCTGATTGTTGTTCAAGTTCTCCTGATGAAGTAATGGATGCTTCTTGGACGACATCAGGCAAGGCAGCTGTTCTAGTTACGGCTGCTTGTGCCATATCCTTTCTCGTGAACGGTAGCCTATCAACAAGTATCTGATGAGATCGAAACCTTGTAATGATTGAAATACACATATATTCAACCTTCTTGTTGTTGTGAGAAAATCAAAGCCTCAAGTTTGCTGATATTGCAGAAGTTATGGGATTCTTGGACTTAGTGAGAACCATAAGAAAATGACTTTTGTTTATACATATAAATCTGAGTGCAATTGGCCAAATTTTAGGCTTCATTACTCTGTTTGATGTGGCAGTTTCCTCTCTTATACCAACAAGGGGTGCAGAATGTTCTTTTCAGCTGGCTCCGAATACTCAGTTGGATGTTTAATGGATTGGGCAGTGCCGTGATCATCTTCTTCCTCTGCACTGAAGCGCTCAAGGATCAGGCATTCAACTCCGAAGGAAAAACTGCAGGGCGGGATATTCTAGGTGCAACGATGTACTCTTGTGTCGTTTGGGTTGTGAACTTACAAATGGCGCTCGCCGTTAGTTACTTCACCTTGATACAACATCTTTTCATCTGGGGTTCGATTTCGATCTGGTACATTTTTCTCCTGATTTACGGGTCCATGACCCCCACCTTCTCAACCAATGCTTACAAGATCTTCACCGAAGTCCTTGCACCTGGCCCTTCCTACTGGCTTGTGCTTCTCTTTGTGGTGATCACAACACTCATTCCTTACTTCTCCTACTCAGCCATACAGATGAGGTTCTTTCCCATGTATCATCAAATGATTTTATGGATAAGGAGTGAAGGACAACTCGACAACCAAGAGTACTGCGATATGTTGCGGAGGGGCACATTCCGATCAACGAGCGTGGGCTGCACAGCACGTTTAGCAGCCCAAATGAGCCGCTCAGAAGAGAGAAACCAGAGTGCTACTTGACAAGCACATCAGTATCTGTCTTCTCTGTTCGTTGTCAAAAAACGATGTAGATTTCTTCTACATGCCTAACAGACGAAACCCGCAATACATATTGGCTATGGTGCTGTTTTTCTTGCACATAATTGGACAAATCTGACTTGTTGAAGAACAGATGAAGCATAACCTGTGGCAAGAAGACACAGACGAAGCATCAGCCAAAAGGAGAGGTGCTGGTAGACATGTATTATATACTATTCAACTTTTATGTACATTACACAAGTGAGGAAATTCATTGTAGGATTAGATAATACTAGTTTTGTTAACAAACAAAAAGAGAGAAAACATGATAGTAGAGCCTCCCTTGTCGATCCGCTCCCTTTCTCTTTCATTTGTAAAATACGACCCGACGTTTTTACGATAATCGGTTTTAACTTTCTTGTGCTTCTTGATTATTGTTGCAAATAACTGATTGCGAGTCTTTAGTTCATATTTTCATTGATTTCTTATTGAAATGGAAAAGATAGTAAGATGGATTATCAATCTTCACCTCTCTGTTGGGCAATCTTTGACAATGAAGGCCATGAATGATAGACAAGACATGAGGGTATTTTGGGAATGAAAATGTTTTGCAAGCTGAATAGGTTTAAGAAAGAAAAAGTAATGAATCTAATCTGGAAAATAATATTTTATAATAAAGTAGCTAATTATCTACACAATAATGTTTTCTAATAGATTTATTTTTTATATCAATTATCAACTACCTAATGAGTTATATGAATTATGAACTAGGTAGATTTTCTAATTTGCTACATTAAAATATGGGGTATTTTCAACCCAGTAAGAAAATGATGATAGTAAAAACTTATTAAAAAATTAAGCTTGAAAGCGAGAGAGAATTAAAAAAAGCAACACAAATATTAAGAACTTGTATATAAGAATAAGATCGGGGAAATACAAGAACAGGAAGCAAGTTGGAATTTTAAATGGAGAGTTTATGAGTACAGCTGCAATTGATTCTCTCTCTCTAACGAACGCTCTTTGAATTTGGTGGTACCGTGAAGAAATTAATTACCAGAAACGAAGAGCGGGCGACTGGAATCGGATGATTTTTCTTCTTCTTCTTCTTCTTCTTTAGGGCAGAGACTAGAATCAGACGGTTATTATATCATATTTATGTACATCTAAGGGAAATTAAACGGTCAATGAAGTGGATCTACGCAAACGTAAGGCCGAGGAAATCGGCGGCGGATTTGGCCATGACGGTGGTGAATTCGTTGAAGCTAATTACGCCGTCGCCGTCGATGTCGGCGAGTCGCATCATCTCGGAGAGCTCGCGGTAGGAAAGAGGTTGGCCCATCTTGGCCATGGAACCGGCGAGCTCGGAGGCGGTGATGTAGCCATTGCCGTCGCGATCGAAAGATCTGAAAACCTCCAACAACTGTTCTTGATTGACGAGGATATCGTCGTTCATATCGGGGAGAATGGCATTGACCAGTTCCTCGAATTCGATGGAGCCGTTGCCGTTGGAATCCATGTTGGAGAGGAGAGAGTGGAGCTGGTCGCCGGAGGGCTTGATTCCAAGGGAGCGGAGGAGCGCCCCGAGCTCGAGCTGCGTGAGGCTGCCATCGGAGTTCATGTCGAAGCGCCTGAAAATGTCTTGCAGCTGCTTGAGCTGGTCGGATTGGATGGAAGCCATGGGGTTCAGACGATTCGACAAGATCCGCAGAAACGAGTTCGTGGAGCTTTGGGGAATGGAAATTGGGGAAATTGGTTCGTTACAGATGTGGGGCTAACCTTGAGGAGTTGAATTTTTAGACAGAATTGTTCAAAAGAGAAAGAGAAACCGCGTTGTTTGGAATTTGGATCCAAGATCAAGATCTAAGATACATGGATCAACCCGACGCCATAACCATAACCCATAACTCTCAAGACGGCGACTTCCGAAATTTCGTCTCTCATTTTCATATTTATTGCTCTATTTAATTTAACCATGAAATTCAAAGTCAAATCTCATTATGGGCCGGACTGGATTGGCCCAGCCTACTTAATAATTGCTCCAAATTCGCCATGGGCCTAAACTCCAAATTGTTTGGACTTGGGTTGTACCGGCCCTAGTCAAAGCTAAGCCCATATACTCGGCTGGCTCGCCTTCAAATTGGCCCGTTGGGCCTTTGAATCAAGATTTTATTAATATGAGAATTCGATCAATTTTTTTTAATAAATTTTGTAACTTTTAAAGTGTGTATACGTGTGTGTAAAATTTAATTTGTATTTTTCAAACAAATTCGATATTTATAGACATAATTTTAAGCGGCTTTTGAGATAATAGTTATCATTTGATAATTTTTTTTTTCAAAAATATCACAAATATAAGATGATATATTATATCAATTATGTATTTTAGATTAGGTATATCAGTGATATACTTTATTAATGCTACAAAAATAATATAATAGTGATATACTTTAGATTGATATACTACAAAAATAATATCAATTATGTATTTTAGATTAGGTATATCAGTGATATACAATATATATAAAAAAAGATTGATATATAATAAATAAATTTTTTATCATGATACAAAAATATATATCGATGGTATACTTTATCATTAATAATATATCAAGTATATGTTTTATATTAGGTATATTAGTAATATACTTCATCAAATGATTGGAGAGAAATTTGTTATATTTGCAAATTGTTTTTAAAACCAGTTTTAGCATCCATTATAATTTTCCTATTTTTAAATCTACTTTTACGTACATCATAAACTTCAAATTGTGTACGAATATTGCAAATTCTAGAATATAAAAGTTCAATTTGGGTTGGTTTATGGACTTATTGGTATATTTTCAATAAGGTTAGCTCGAGTAATTTATAATTTTGCACAGATGAGGCAAAGATCAAGTAATATTAGGCCTAAGGTTGAACCAACCTTTGAGTTCGCCAAATGAAAGTGGACTGTAAATAGAAAAATGTTAGTTCCAACACGTAATGATTTCCTCAAGTTTGAAGATGCTGAATTCAAGCATTCCCTATACAAATTTGTGCTCCAGAAATCAGCAGAAATGTTTAAAATGAGTAAAAAAGAAGTGCGAACTCAGAAAATACTATAAATTGGTTAGATTAGTAACACCAAAATTGCTCTTCAATAATATCATTTACATATGAACAATAATTGAGTCTATTGAACATGAATTGGGGGTTTGGATTCAATTCTCTGATGAAATCTGATTCATCTTTAATTACATGAAGGTGCTGTTGGAATCACCTGAGTTTCCAGTCAGCAAGGAAAAAAGCCTTCCTGGTCAGGAACAAGCACATATTTCTCTTTTCTCTGTTTGTTTGTATCTACAAGTCTCCTCTTCTATCAGCATTTGAGCTACCTTGGCTATAAAAGTCTGAACTGTAATCTTGGTTACCAAATGCCAGCATTTGGAAAAATCTAATCTCTGCAGATTGTTGAGCAGAGTCGAAAGCTCGACTCTCCCCGAACCTCATCCCATTACTTAAATCTACAGTGGCTAAACTATCAAAAGTTCTAACAACCTGAGAATGAGAACAATTCTGTTAACAAGATGCAACAAGGGAGGGTTTTGGGTTTTCATATTTGTATTATGAATTGATAACAGAAACACGACCTGTCCCATCTGCGGTCTCTTGGCAGATGCATGCCGCACGCAAGCTGCAGCTATTCCTATCATCCTCAGCACTTCACTCTCAACATATTTCCTTTCAAGCCTCGGGTCCACCAATCGCTCGAAATCTTGGCTGTCGAGTGCATGGTTTAGTAAAGGCCGAGCCTGAAAAATGAGAACATTGTGAGAAAGGTCGATTTCAGCATTTGCAAAGTGCATATCTTATTACTGTTTTGAAAATTAACTAAAGTGTCATTCAAGCTTTTATTCTGAATATAGATCATTTTTCATGTGAGTCTTGCTTGCTAATCCTAGAATAAGAATCATTTTCTCATGTAATGCAGAACTAAAGTGAGGAAATTCATGCTTCATACGAATTGTGATAATTGTGGCTTTCCTAGTCCATTACAAACGCAGCTGCAGTTAAGTTTTTAAAACATTGAAACGAGTGATTATTCAAGCAACAAATACAATATCATAAAAAGGATGGTGGCCGGCACCATCGTATTATATCCATAGCAGTGAAGACATAGAAGAGAAGCATGAACAGATTACCCATTCGACAAGGCTCTCATCCCCCATCGGCTGGGATGCATCCACAGCCTTTCGACCAGTAATCAGCTCAAGAAGCACGACTCCAAAAGAATATACATCCGATCTCTCAGTTAATTTTCCACTTGATGCATATTCAGGGGCAACATATCTGCAATCGGAACAACTCAAATTTTTAAATGAGATAATTATTGAAGCACAGATTTGAAAGAGTTGAATTCTAGGAGGGTGTTGGTACCAATCATAAACTACCTACCCGAAAGTTCCTACGACACGGGTGGTTATATGAGTTTGTGCGTCGAGAGCTAATTTAGCTAGCCCAAAGTCTGAAACCTGAACCATTAGCAATAAAAGCATGAAGCCATAACCCTTCAAGCTAAGAATTTTAGCATAAATAGTGAAACTTCATGCATACCCGAGCTTCAAAATTTTCATCTAGAAGAATGTTTGAAGATTTTATATCCCGGTGGATAATTCGAGGATGGCCTGAGACAGACGAAAATATCAGTCTTAAGTTGACATCAAGATTATTTGGTCTTACACGAAAAGTATAGAAAATTACAGTCTTCATGAAGGTAAGCTATTCCACGGGCTGCACCAGCTGCAATCTTGATGCGTTTTTCCCAATCTAGAACAGGCTCACCCTCACCTAGCGCCAAAAAAAAGAGAAAGAAATCAATTTTGCCCCTTACTACGACAAGCCAAAATTTGGAACCAAAAGTACCTTTAAGATGGAGATGGTAGTAAAGGGAATTGTTAGGGACATAATCATACACCAGCAACCTTTGGTGTTCTAAAATGCAGTAGCCAACTAGAGAAACTAAATGGCGGTGGTGAACACGACCGATTATCTCGACCTCAGCTTTGAATTCCTGCTCACCCTGACTACCACCAACCTTTAGTTCCTTCACTGCAACCTCTCTTCCATCTGGTAGACATCCTTTATAAACAGAACCAAATCCACCTTCTCCTAAAAGATTCTGAGCAGAAAATGCATTTGTTGCTCTGAAGAGTTCTTCATATGTAAACAATGCCCTTGAATTGCCTAACCCACCAAGATCCTTTGAAGCACCACTGCCACTGCCACTGGCTTGTCTGTCTTGGTGAGGTGTGGAATGGACCTTCATAAGGGATGATTCTGAGAAAAAGATTACAAACTTCTTGAATTTCAGTAATCTATTCCCAACAATTCAATTAATATAGTTTCTTTTCCTACTAAAACAGGAGACAAAAAACCCAAAATGGCCCATCCAAATGTATTATCAATGCTCCAACTCCGAAACATGGAAAAGATACCTCCCTCTAAATTTCAAGTTAAAAGTACTCTAGTCATGACCTACAAATAATAGAACAAAAGAATACATCTGCGAAAAGAATTATCACGACAGTTCTTTTAAAGAAGCAATTATATATTTTTTTTATAGGTAAAGAAATAATTATATTGAAAATGTTGAGAATGGAGACATAGTCAAATATTAGTTTAGGAGTGAGGATTTAGTAATAACAATATCTCCATTTGTACAAGAGTCTTTTAGGCTTAAAATGAGCTACGACTCTTGTAAAAATATGAAGAGATCCATTATCTTAACAAAACATAACATTTAAGTGGTCATGCCTTCAAAGAAAACACAATCATCAAATTGAATACATCACAATAAATTCTTGGGTAGCAAGGTAATCATTAATGGGGTGGGGCGGGAGGCTAAGAACGTATATGGCAGTACCTGACTTAGGCGAGGAGCCCAGAGAAGACGGCATAATGAAACCTCCACGCCCAGAATCCCTTCTCCTTGGCTTCCTAATGTACCATAAAACAAACCCAACAATGGAAAGCGCTACGATTCCAGCCACTACACCTATCGCAATTGCACCTCCAGTACTAATGCCTCCATTGCTGTTGGAATTCGGGTCTACTCCAACATTAGGAGCAGAACCATCGT